GAGTTATTTAATGCATTTAAATATGGTTTTATTTTCGTATTTTACAAATTAACGAAAAATTAGCACATGTTTTAGTACAACTGCACTGTGCTCACATTTACTTGTGCATTAAATTACAAATAAAAAATTACTTATCATCTTGCGCCCTATTGTGATCTCGAATGGCAGAATATTTCATACATGCATGCACAGTTTTGCAGCTTTAATTGCCATTTTGGTAATTTCATGACTCAACTGGCATAGTTTCTAGGCATAGGTTATTTATGATGAAGTGATATAGAGCGTGCGCCTCATATTCGCGAACAGTTGAAGAGCGTGCGCTGTGAGCACAGTTAAACGTCTGACAGAACAGGAAAGTTTGTTTTACTGACATATAACAACATCTCATCAGACTGTTGTTCACTGTTGTTCTACTGAAGCTCATTTGGCACCTGTATCTTTTCCGCGCTTGTTTGACTCACGCCTGGTGCTGAAGGCAAGCTGAAGTGCGCGTCTGAAAAGCCTCCTGTTTGTTGTGGTCGTAAAGAGATACGGCCGTTCGGCGTCTTAATAAGTTTATAATAAATAAATTTTTTGAACTCGTTTAAAATGCTAAAAAACATAAAATAAAAATGTTTCATTACATTATTTTTAACAACCAAGCTTTTGATTATTTATAACTGTTTGTGCTACATAAAGTCAGTGGTAAAGAGTGTCAAAGTTATAACTGTTTGAACTTTGAGCATGTTACAACACTAGACAGGGATGGTGGAAATGTGAATTATGCAACAGCCTATAGGGCCTTCACTATACGGCTGTAAAAAAAAATATTTAAAAAATTAAAGAGGAAAAGACGATAATTTGATGAATTTATCTGTGATTCCCAAATACTTGCTAAGGAACTCGCATTCACATAAACTAGTCTTGTTGACAAGTTTGGGTGAGTAAGGGCAAAACGCACAAGATGCAGTACTTTCAGTGACCTGTAATAGGCAGTATCACGTCTTTTGTAGCAGAAATAAACTGCTGCAGAAAAAGCTAGGTCCATGCAAAATGTAATGTGTAACTGCAACACTCATTTCAAATGTAGTGGAGTAAAGAGTACAGATACTCATTCAACAATGTAGTGAAGTAGAGTGTAAAAGTTGCTAATATCTTTGATACTCAGTACAACTACAAACTGACCCACTGAGCATTTTGCTGTCCAATGGTTATGCATTAACTTTGCAATTTTTAGTATTGTATTAGTTTTGAATATTTCTCATGGGCATTTAAGCAAAACTCAGTTCGCGCGCGTGCAAAACGCACTTTTGCGCTCTCAAAATATGATCTTTCACGCGCAGAATTGCGGCAGAGATGTAATCCCATAAGATTTCCCCACGCATCAGTTAAAGCATCAGTAATAACCCTGACCACCTCTGGATCGACTGGTGTGGTGGCGTTGTAATCCATATATATGGATTATTTTATGGATTATTTTAACGATGTCCTTGCATTTCTGAGCCTTGATCGTGGTAGAACCCTTGCTGTCTATGGGAGGGTCAGAGAGCTCTCCGATTTCATCAAAAATATCTTAATTTGTCTTCCGAAGATGAACAAAGGTCTTACAGGTTTGGAATGACATGAGGGTGAGTAATTAATTATATTATTTTCATTTTTCGGTGAACTATCCCTTTAAATCTCAGAATTCTGTCTACCATTCTGTATTTAGGCCTCTATTTTTATGGAAGCTTGTAATGCAATAAAAGCTTGCAAGTAATACAAAAATAAAAGATGCTTTAATTCACAATTCTAACTTTATTATGTTTTTTTGTTGACAAAATTAGTTTTAAAAAAGTAAACTCAGAATTCCAATAAAAAACATCTAAATTATGAGATGTAAACTTAGAATTGAGTGAAAAAGCCAGAATTGTGAGATGTTTACATGCAATTCTGAGAAGAAAAAATATTTCAAGATGTTATCTCGTAAATGTGACATACAAACTTAAGTTAGAATTGTGAAATACATAGTCGCCAAAATTTACCAGTTTTATTGTTTTTTTTTTACATGATGGAAAGAGGCTTCCATATGTTTTATATATAAAATCAGGGATACATTCAACTTGAGATTTTATATTTTCTCATGCATAAAATAATGGCTTGAATCACACACAAAAGACAAAGCCATTCATAGCGTTGCATAAGTTCCACATTTATTTCATATCTGACGATGTGTTAAGTGTACACAAACATTTGACTCATAATTCCAACACTCAGAAAGAAACATTAAACTACTGCCCATTGAAGATGGTACAAACCAGTTACAACTGCATATTACACCATTCACAGCAATCATGTTTATATACAAGGAAAAAAGTAAAACAGAGAAAACGACAGAAATGAGTGGAGTGCATAAGAGGAGAATGGAAGCACACAAATATTTGGTGTTGATTATGAGAACTGATTCATTCTTTCATTTTGGGAGATGGTAAAATGAATGCCATGTTTTAAGCCTTGAAACAAACAAATTGCTTGTAGAAATGATACAGGACAGGCTATAACATGAAGAATACCATCCAGCTCTCCGCATTACATTCTACAAGGTGCACAGACAAAAAAAAAAAAAAAACAAGAGTCAAGACAATACACATTTGCTAGCAAAACCAAACTGAAAGTGATTCTTTTAACTAGATTTTTAAGTAATTTTGTTCTCACTTATTTTAAAAATGCACCTGCTATTACTATTAACATACACACTTTTTTTCTAAAAGTAGTGGCATTGCTTCTATCACTCGGAACTGGTCATGACAGTGAAGTGAGATATACACATGGAAATTGCAAAAAAAAATGCATTAACTATTTTTCATAAACAGAGAACCTTCAAGCATTGAGAATCCTTTTAGGATATGCGTTCTGCATTTACAAACAAGCAGAACTCCACTTTTTCATAGAAACAGAAACCCACTTTTTGGAAATAGAAATGTAGATCTTTGATGTTTGTTCATATACAGATCAAGGCTTTCAATAGAGGTTAGTTCAGTGTCAGATTCTTGCTATACTCAGCATGTGCTGAAGGTTGGCTGGCCTCAGTCATGCGGATATGCCTGAATCCTGCCCTGGAGGAACCTCAGGTTTGCAAATAGTTGATCTGCACTCTAAATATGCAGGTATGGAGGAAAAGCTTGTCTTAAGTAACCTGCAGGATCCCAAACCACATTATAAGCCTTCTGGACTAATAATAGTGGACATATGGGCTCTGCTGCAGTGACTGCCCCACAGAACTCCACCTTCTAACAAATGCTTTTGCACTACAAAGTGTCTAAATCACAGCTGTTGGTATTATATAACTTAAAAATGTGGTTTCATATTCCAAAAACAGTCATTTGGCTGAAGTTAAACAGCTATCAGCAATCTCAACTCAGACGGTTGCCTGTTTGATGGGGTTTGCACTAAGCCTATTGCCTAAGCCTACTGACATTAAGCAGAACAATCATACCGGAGATGACTTTAAAACCAGAAAATGGAATTTAAAATGTATCGTGTTGCATGTATTAGCCTGTCGGATATTTTATGTAATTATAATCACAAAAAAATCAAGGCTTGGAACAATGACAGCAGCAGGGCTTATTTCTAGAGTCCATGATGATGTTTTATTTTTTCTGGCAGAATAAATAGATCAGTTTTGTTCATTTTTATGTGAAATCAGTTAAGAAAAATAATTTACACCATCTAGGTATGCTTAGAAATCTCAAAACCTAGTCAAATGTAGGGCAAGTGCAATATACAAACTAAATGTGACCCTGGACCACAAAAGCAGTCTTAAGTCGCTGGGGTATATTTGTAGCAATAGCCAAAAATACATTGTATGGGTCAAAATTATAGATTTTTCTTTTATGCCAAAAATCATTAGGATATTAAGTAAAGATCATGTTCCATGAAGATATTTTGTAAATTTCCTACCGTAAATAAATAAAAACTTCATTTTTGATTAGTAATATGCATTGCCAAGAACTTAATTTGGACAACTTTAAAAGCGATTTTCTCAATATTTTGATTTTTTTGCACCCTCAGATTCCAGATTTTCAAATAGTTGTATCTCGGCCAAATATTGTCCTATCCTAACAAACCATACATCAATGGAATGCTTATTTATTCAGCTTTCAGGTGATGTATAAATCTCAATTTCGAAAAATTGACTGGTTTTGTGGTCCAGGGTCACAAATATGCAAAACTAAAAAAAAAAAAACTAAAACTGCTTTTGCCTGTGCACAGGAATGATTACACACAAAGAGAAAGGGTGGTAGCGATGAGTGGGCCTTAAAGTAGACATTCACCCTGTTAAAGAAGCGCACAGGGATTAAGATGATGGAAATTTTAAAACAAAAACAGAGTAGAGGATGCAAGAGGCACAAAATCATATCTCCTCACTCTCTAGGGTGCGTGTAGAAAATTCCATCAGTACTGTGCATTTGATTTGTTCTAACAAACTTCTAAACCTTCCATTTTCCAAGACTGACCACTGTACAAACGCTCATTTCGGAGTCTGGGCAAGGATGGTGATTTTTCTCAACCTGATAAATCTTGCAAAAAGCATTTTTCATTTTCAAGTAATCTACATGTAATAGCAGCTATCCCAGCTATGCACTTCTAACCTGTTCCCCAAATGCATTTCATTGTGTGGGGGGAAATGAGAGCAGTGCAGTCAGTAAAAGGGAGGTTAGTCAACTCATGATAAAAAGTGCCATATGCAGAAATTGCACTGTACTTCAAAAATATTACAGTCTTTGTCAATAAATACATGCTGAAATAAATAAAAACATGTTAAATAAATACCTAACAAGATAAGACTTTAATAGAAATTTTAAAAGTAAATTAGATCATTTGGGGATACTGATAATTTTTTATATAAAATATTAGAATGGATTATGATACATTTTAGATAAATTTACTGACCAGTACTCCAACAAAAATAGGCCAAATCTTTATAATGGTTCTCATACAGAGACATGAGAATGCAACCATTCTCCTTAGCCAAATTTTCCCTAATGCGTCCTGGTGATTTTGAAAACTTTATGCATTTCAAGGCCATACAAGGGAAACATTATAAAGGTATATGAGTATTTATGATGGGTTGAACTGTGTCCAAGAACTGCACTTAAAGAGAGTAAGAGCGTAATATGATGTGATTCATCTGCTCCTTGCTAAGAACTGCGTATCATTGATCAATTCTATCTTCCATAGCCAAGAGATGAATAAACATATGGTCTGCTGATTTAAATACTGACCAGTTTTATCGTTTTAAACCCATAGAGTAACACAGTAAGGCCATGTGATCCATTTCCCCACAAACCCAAGATATGGACGTCACTCTTCACAGTAACAAATTCAGATGTGTTTGCATGAGCTGACAGCTTCAGAATTAGAAATTCCCATCACCAGCTTTCTAAAATGTTGCTGAAGACTACATAAGCATACTATCTCTACCCCAATAAAGTAGTTAGCCTGTTCTCTTGGCGCTATAAGTTGAATATTTAGGCCACTGTAGATGCACAACAAAGGGGCCTTTAAGATACAGGTGCACAGTTGGTGCTAGTGTGGGCAGGTGCAGGTACACACATGTAGGAAACAGAGGGTCAGAGAGTTGAATAAGCACAGAAACTGGGGGATCTGTCAGTAGATCTATTTACAAGGTTAGTCCTTTGTGTTTTTTGTCCTCGAAGAGTTGTACAGAAGGTATACATGTAGTGGGCTCAAAACCTCATCTGCCCGGCTCTTCTTCTTGACAGTTTAGACCTGATAAGAAGGAGAAAGTCGAATAAATATTGGTAAGACAGGTCTTTAAAAGGCTTAGATGTGTGCTTTACTGTACCTGATAGATCCAGCAAGCAGAGGGTTAAAGGCATACAGCCAGTCATGCATCTCCTTGTCATTACTGGCTTGAAGGAGTATCCCACGATGCTCTGTGCATACCGCAAATGTGTAGGGCATCTGCAGTTTAGACAGACATTGAATTAGTTCAGCCTATAAACAGTCGATTTACTGAAAATGTGTTGCCTTGGAATAAAATAAAATAACATTTTAAAAAGTTTAACTTTCAGCATGGCCTCCTGGTATTCAGACATTGGTTTACAGCTCAGTCTATAAACAGTAGATTTTCTCACAATATGTTCCCTTAAAAGTGACTGACTTAAAAAAAATTATAATAATAATAAAATTGAATAGAATAAGAAAAAATATATATTTGCAGATGCTTCACCTACAGCATGGCCTGCTGGCATTCAGAAGGCGAATTACAGTTCAGTCTATAAATAGTCAATTTACTCACAATGTGTTGCTTTGGAAGAGACTGACTTTTTCAAAAATAAATAAATAAATGAATAAATGTTTCACCTTCAGCATGGCCTGCTGGTCTTCGCTGTACTCCACTTGTGCAGAGGACAGGTTAAGAATGGCCCTTTCCACTGTGTCTCTCTCTGTGTTGTAGATGTAGACATAAGGCCGACGTACCACCACATATCTCTTAACCCAGCCATTACTGTGGGGCTCCAGGAAGTGCAAATAACCTTTCTTTGACACAATTGGGCTGCAACAATAAAATAGGGTACAGGTTAGAGTTAACTTCCAAAGATGCAAATTCCTTAAATCTCAAATTTCATATTCAGGCAAATATAACTAAAAAAAGGAACTGTTCATCCTCTGAACAATAAACAATTTGTATAATCTGTACAATTGATTTTTTTTTACCTGACACGGATTTCCTGAATGTCTGGCACAAAAGTGTGGGTTCTTGATTTGGACTCTTGAGGAGACATTTTGCTCTCTGTTTCAGTGTCAGGGATGGGGCTGAGAGCACGAGATCGAGGTGTTGGGGGTCTGCACATATGAGCAATAAGAATATAGATGCAACAATTAGTTAGATAGCATTTCATGTGGAACAATATTTGGCAGACATATTTAAAAACATGTAAAGATTTTTCTTAATGTTAAAATAATTTCTCCTATTTTAATGCGATAGTTCACCCAAAAATGAAAATTCTTATGGACTATTTTAACGATGTCCTTACTACCTTTCTGGGCCTTGAACGTGTCAGTTGCTTTGCTGTCTATGCAGTGTCAGAAAGCTCTCAGATTTCATCAAAAATATCTTAATTTGTGTTCTGAAGATGAACGAAGGTCTTACGGGTTTGGAACGACATGAGGGTGATTAATCAATGACAGAATTTACATTTTTGGGTGAACTAACCCTTTAATATACAGAAACACCTATAATATAAATCATTCACAGGTTTATTCTCAAACTAGCCTGATGCATTAGCTTTATCAAAAGCATGAATTTAGGACAGGACTATCTGTCATTCTGATCAATGGCAGACTACGAAATGATTAAAAAAAACTTTTTTTACTGTTGTTTTTGCAATTCCATTTAGTTTGTGTTGCAGAATCACCTTTAAAGTTTTAATTCTTTTAAAACTCAAAATAAAACAGAAGTCACTAAGTACTGACCTGAGTTCAGCGTTGTGGCCGTAGCGTCCCTCCACCAATGAGGGGCATGTGGAGGATGGGGTGAGGGTGTTTTCAGCACACACTGAGGCAGAGTCTTTCAAAAGAGTTACTGACATCTGGCTCAACTACAACAAATCACAACAGAGAAATCAGTCATTATACACAGAACACAAACACACACCTTCACACAAACATTTCTGTAGGTTTCTGCAGCAATAGTATAAAGTTAACTCTTCTTATGTTTTCAGAAAACATAAGTCTGAACGTTTTTAAAGGGTTAGTTCACCCAAAAATGAAAATCAGCTCATGAATTACTCACCCTCAAGGCATCCTAGGTGTATATGACTAGGGTTGCAAAAAGGTGGAAATTTTCCAGTAAATTTCGGACATATTCCAGAAATTTTGGAAACTTTCCAGGATTTTTTGGAATAATAATAATGTGTGTGTATGTGTATGTGTGTAAAAAATAATTTAAAAAACTGGATGGCCCAGGCTATAAAATATAATAATTTATATATAATATATTATATATAATACATATAACTAAGCAGGTTAGTCACTGATTTACCTTTGCAGCCAGCTCCTTCTGCCTCTCGTTGGGTGTGTCAGGGCCGGGGCAAGGGTTGTGGCCCAGGCCCAGGTGGGTGGATGGGGAAGAGGACTCGGTTAGATCCTCACTCCCGCAGGACAGCAGCGGCTCCTGGCCCAGCAGCAGGGTGGACTCCAGCTTCTCCCTAAGGAGGAGGTAGTGTCTGGTTTTCTCCACCTAACATACAGCAGAAGGAAATGAGTTCTCAGATCCTCAGCAGAGCTGCCATGACACATTCTTTTAATTCTGTATCACATTAAAAACCAAATAACAAGATGTTCTCACCTCCTGCAGGAGAGTCAGTTTCTCCAGCTCCCACTGATGGTCCAGGATGAGGCTGTCACTGCGGGGCCTCCAGCCAGCCAGGTTCTCCTCCCCTCGCACATATGCCACCGACGTATCCAGCACCCTCCTGCGCCGTCTTTGCATTCCTGCACATTCAGGTGTCATTTCAACAGCAGAACCCCCTAAAATCTAAATTGCCCAGCATCCCATAAATCCTCAATGAAACACACATGAGGTAACTGGTGTCTTACCTGGGCTCCCTGCATCAGCCAGGTGGCACAGACTGAGCTCATACACACCAGTTACACGGTTTCTAAACGTAAAAACAATAGAAAACAATATGGTAACTTAAATTACAAGAGCAACATTGCAAAGGACTTGTGTGGTGATATGAAGGAGCTGTACCCTTCAGATGGCCTCAAGGTGCCACTGCTGAAAAGGTTCCTGATGGAGCGAGATGCTGGGAGCTTGGCGTCTCTTGAGTAGAACACCATGCATAAGTCTTTGGTTATCACTGTGGGCTGTGTGCAGTTCTCCATCTGGGAAGAGCAAACCATTGTAAGCCTTTCAATCTAAAATGGTGCTTCAAATAACCATAGCTTGATAAAGAACAAGCAACATCTATAGAGTGCAACAGTCAGGTTCCAAAAGAGGAACTGATTTTTAATGGTAACTTATATATAATAGACCTACAATGAGCTCCAATGCTGTTTATTGATGGCACTGTATATGATGCATCTGTAAAATAAGTAAATTAGCCCATTTTGTTTAAATGAAGGATTGCAAAAATGAATACACCCTAGATTTAATTCAACAAATGTATAATATTCTAGTACTGTACTAACGGTACGGAGTGTACAAGTTCATGACAAATTGGCTGTTTAACTCCTGGAGGATAATGATCTTCTAAGTTCGAGTAATTGCTGAATTTGTTAAGTTTCAGAGGGTGAATACTCATTCATGCTGTGGACTCAAATGATGCCAAACAAGCTCTACAGCGATCACCCAGTCCCTACTTATATGCTTACCATATATATTTATTGCAATGATTTCTGAAGGATCATGTGTAGTAACAGCTGCTGAAAATTCAGCTTTTCCATCACAGGAATAAATTAATAAGCGTTGAAACATATTAAATAGAAAACAGAATTAAATTTTTTTTTTTAATAATATTTCACATTATTATTATTATTTATTTTATTTTTTTTATGTGTTTTGATCAAATTAATGCAGCCTTGGTAAGAACAAGAGACTTCATTTTAAAACATTTTGAAAATATTAAATCTTCTCCAAACCTTTAATCTTCCCCAAACATTTAAACAATAGTGCATATCTGAATATTTTCTAAGAAACTTAAAGTACATAGTTTCTATACTTAAAATCAGTCACCACTGATTACATCATTTGCAATGCTTTATTGAATGTTTCGTCAAGAAATGTCCTTTTATCTGATTTTCAAATACTTGCTTTAAATCAAAATTTGGAATGTTTTGACTAACCTAGGAGCTGGTTTGGTTCATAACATCATAAAATTCTTTATTCAAGTTTTTTATTTTTTATAATTTTTCTATGCCTGTGGAAAAGTGAATAGGAAAATACTTCACAGAACCAGGGCCACTACAAGTAGGCAAGCACTGTTGCACTCTATAGAGCCACAAAGTTTACTGCTATTTGCCTCTTTTTCCACATATGTACTTGATTCAACCATTACAAATGCTGTGGGCTGTTTGGTACATTCAATTAGCTGGAACTAAATCATGTAGGTCTGTAACTCTCCCAAATGAACTTCTCACCCCCCCATATAAATAAGTGAATGGCCTTGGTTACCTCCAGGTAAGCAGACAGAGTCATGTAGATTTTCTCTCCATAAGGAGTGACACGGTTAAGCAGCAAAGAGTTGTGCATGGATGAATCCCAAGCAGCCTCAAAACGGTAGAATATCCTAGATTAACGGTAGAAAATAGCCTTAAAGATATAATTTCATTCATAGACCAAGGTGAATTTACATAGTCTCTTATATTATAATTTCATATGTTATTGTTAAATGCTATTTGAATACATAATAAATATGGTCAGCTTGTTAGGCAAAGCACTTACATCTGATAAATCAGATCATATTGTATAAAGTGACATTCTAAGAACACAAAAGTGTTTAAAAATGGTGACCAGGAGTGGAGACAATATAAATGCATGCAAGAAACACTTTAGCTTCATCACTAGATATGAATACCACCACCAACGATGTGTAAATCAATGACAGTTATCAATAAAAATACAAAAATCAAATTAAAATAAAGAGGGATGAAAGAAATGATCATTAGAGGAGGGAGGCAGGTACAAGGGGACACATATACCTAGGATCAATCCCCAAGGAAATGCTTTAGGTGGAAAGGAAAGAATCAGTGCTAGAATCATAGGTAAGACAGTTCAGAGAAGTAAACTACGGTCTCTGGTTGTTAGCATATAACAATTCGAGAGATGTTATTGCATTTTCCATCAACTCACATCAGCTCTGTTATGGTCTCACAGACCTCAAATGAACTAATATTGGCCCTGAAGTTATGCTATATCATGAGAAAGTACTAGATGAAAATAGTATGGGCTGCATCTTACTCATAAATTATATTCACCTTGCTGAACTTCCAGCCTACCCACCCTCGCTCTGATGAATACAGGTCATAACCTGCCGAAATGATCACAGATTAGATATTTCTGGCCCTCGGCCTGGGAAGGGTCTTAAATCTCCAAATGCCTGAGTCATAAGAATATGAGAGGGGCCGAGCTTCTCTGAGGTATGTGATAGATTGAGCTTGTGTGCTTTAGATGTTGAGTGTTAAAGTGAATGGGCCGGCATGACCCAGTAGGCAGCTTTAAGGTTGTCATTCAGACATGGAGAGAGAAAAAAAGAAGTGAGAGAGGTCCTGGAAATTGATTTGTTGAAGGGATAGAGGGAAAATAATGAAACAATGTGGGAGAAACTTCAAGGGTCACTGTGGGGTTGTGATCATGGAAAAGGTCTAGAGAAGACCATCTCACTTCTTAGTCTTAAAAGGGATTGTTCTCCCAAAAAAGAAACTTCTGTCATCATTTAAGGCTGTAATATACGACACAATCTTTGCCCCGATTTTTGCTCCGATTTGTAGAGTGGACAATTTGACAATAGTTGCCAACCATCAGAGCCAGTCTGCAGATTTTGGGCAGCTCGAGTTAACAGATTTCACAGAAAATTGTGTGTATAATAGCATGGTGTAGGTTTTTTTCTGTAAGCATTTACAAAGTCAAGTGTACGACGCCTGGCATTTTAAAATCTGTTCAGATTTCAGAAGTCACGTAGTGCATTCCAGCCTTTACTAACCCTCATGTTCTTCTAAAACTGTGTGACTTTCTTTTTTCTGTGTTACATAGAAGACGACATTTTATTTTGGTCCATATAATGGAAGACAATGGGCTTCAGTGTTGTTTGGTTTCCAACATTCTTCAAAATATCTTCTTTTTGGAGACACAAAAGAAATTAAGTCAGGGATTAATACAGATTTGGAATAACATGAGTGTGAGTAAATGATGACAGCATTTTAAATGTCATAATCTTATACCCAGTTACCATATCCATTTACTTTTATTATGGGAAAACTGAAGAGACAACTCCTAATAAGTGGTTATTTAAGGAAAGAAACCGGTTATACAGTGGGTACGGAAAGTATTCAGACCCCCTTAAATTTTTCACTCTTTGTTATATTGCAGCCATTTGCTAAAATCATTTAAGTTAATTTTTTTTCCTCATTAATGTACACACAGCATCCCATATTGACAGAAAAACACAGAATTTTTGACATTTTTGCAGATTTATTAAAAAAGAAAAACTGAAATATCATATGGTCCTAAGTATTCAGACCCTTTGCTCAGTATTTAGTAGAAGCATCCTTTTGATCTAATACAGCCATGAGTCTTTTTGGGAAAGATGCAACAAGTTTTTCACACCTGGATTTGGGGATCCTCTGCCATTCCTCCTTGCAGATCCTCTCCAGTTCTGTCAGGTTGGATGGTAAACGTTGGTGGACAGCCATTTTTAGGTCTCTCCAGAGATGCTCAATTGGGTTTAAGTCGGGGCTCTGGCTGGGCCATTCAAGAACAGTCACAGAGTTGTTGTGAAGCCATTCCTTCGTTATTTTAGCTGTGTGCTTAGGGTCATTGTCTTGTTGGAAGGTAAACCTTTGGCCCAGTCTGAGGTCCTGAGCACTCTGGAGAAGGTTTTCGTCCAGGATATCCCTGTACTTGGCCGCATTCATCTTTCCCTCGATTGCAACCAGTCGTCCTGTCCCTGCAGCTGAAAAACACCCCCACAGCATGATGCTGCCACCACCATGCTTCACTGTTGGGACTGTATTGGACAGGTGATGAGCAGTGCCTGGTTTTCTCCACACATACCTCTTAGAATTAAGGCCAAAAAGTTCTATCTTGGTCTCATCAGACCAGAGGATCTTATTTCTCACCATCTTGGAGTCCTTCAGGTGTTTTTTAGCAAACTCCATGCGGGTTTTCATGTGTCTTGCACTGAGGAGAGGCTTCCGTCGGGCCACTCTGCCATAAAGCCCCGACTGGTGGAGGGCTGCAGTGATGGTTGACTTTCTACAACTTTCTCCCATCTCCCGACTGCATCTCTGGAGCTCAGTCACAGTGATCTTTGGGTTCTTCTTTATCTCTCTCACCAAGGCTCTTCTCCCCCGATAGCTCAGTTTGGCCGGATGGCCAGCTCTAGGAAGGGTTCTGGTTGTCCCAAACGTCTTCCATTTAAGGATTATGGAGGCCACTGTGCTCTTAGGAACCTTAAGTGCAGCAGAAATTTTTTTGTAACCTTGGCCAGATCTGTGCCTTGCCACAATTCTGTCTCTGAGCTCTTCAGGCAGTTCCTTTGACCTCATGATTCTCATTTGCTCTGACATGCACTGTGAGCTGTGAGGTCTTATATAGACAGGTGTGTGGCTTTCCTGATCAAGTCCAATCAGTATAATCAAACAGAGCTGGACTCAAATGAAGGTGTAGAACCATCTCAGGGATGATCAGAAGAAATGGACAGCACCTGAGTTAAATATATGAGTGTCACAGCAAAGGGTCTGAATACTTAGGATCATGTGATATTTCAGTTTTTCTTTTTTTTTAATAAATCTGCAAAAATGTCAACAATTCTGTGTTTTTCTGTCAATATGGGGTGCTGTGTGTACATTAATGAGGAAAAAAAATTTACTTAAATGATTTTAGCAAATGGCTGCAATATAACAAAGAGTGAAAAATTTAAGGGGGTCTGAATACTTTCCGTACCCACTGTATATATATATATATAATTAACTGCCCTGCAACAGAGTTTATGAAATTAATATATGCAAAACTGTTACAAAAAATTGTCTTGAGACTTAGTTTGGACTTGGACTTGACATAGACTTGGCCTTGGAAGAGTTAGATTCCTAGAAACTTCTGGATATGTCTGCAAATGAAAAATCCATATTGATCTTCCATCTGAATATTTAGGGTACATATGGTAGTTACAGCCCCATGACTGCTGAGTGTACAAAGTGTACCTTTTAAAAGGTTAGGACACAAACACAGGCCTTCTCATAAAGATCACATTTAGAAGACACTCAACCAAACCATTTCTGATGCTATTGTTCACTCCCAAACAACCACATAAATCAAGCTTAACATACCAAGCAACATGAGGGATTGTGAGGATAATTTCACCTCCCATTTACAGATGATAAAAGAGATTTCCTGTTGTTTTAACTTCCCTTTCAATATTTCTTTCCCTTAAATTTCTTATATCAGCCAATTCAAACTATAACTCATGTTCTTGGCAAAATATACATCGAAACATTTCTTTCTCAGTTTATTGGCTCTGCTTGCATCGAGGACCTAAATAATATTGAAGAATTACTCATTGCACAGGGGTAAGAAAGCAAGCATGCTACCAATGAGGTAATGCTTGCATGGATTGTCGAGCTGCTGAACTCTGCCACCCAGGCTGCTGGAAATTAAAACTTTTCTGTGACAACATGAATGAGAGAGACACTGCAGTTCTGTACTCAACTCCCCTGCAAAAACTCTTAGGAACTACATTGGAGGGTGTTGGGTGCGAATACCAGTTACCAAGGAGACAAGTGTATACTAAGAATAATATTGATTGCTTTAAGGAGTCTTCTTACCTTCCAAATGTTTTATTGCTTTCAATTTGTTAGGTTTTTTATGTCCACAAATTGTCAAATTATGAAAAAGTAATTTATACGGTTGTAAAAATGCTAACTGTAACTTGGTTTAACTGTACCTTTTCTTACCACATTTGTTAAATAAATAAATAGTTTAACATTGAATTACATGTAATTTTACTGTAAAATACTGCCATGGTTTTTGGAAGTAAAAACTATGAATTACCATATAGTTTAAATGGTAAACATTAAAAAGTCTGTGTGAAAAGTTATGCATCGTTATATTTAATTTAAATTTTTTAAAATATTTGTTTCTTCTTACTTTTGTTGTACATAATATAATGTAGAGTATTTCACGTTGCATTTTCTGTTATTTAGTTAAAGTTTATTGCATTATTTTAGTGCCGTGTGTTTCCCTGATGGTGTTTTGTCATTGTTTGTATGACCCTGTGCATGAGTATTAAATATATGAATATACTGAATATATGAGTATTGGCTATGTTTTATGAACAACCCATTTATGATGAACTCTGATTCAACATGCGGTATTTTTACCTGTATTATAATGGTGGCTATTAGTACATTTTAAAGTACAAAGGAGATTTCGGTAGTTCAAATAGATTGGTATACTAACATTAAGTCACTTAATAAAATATACAGCTGTAAAAGTTGTAAAATATACAGACACCAATATGCCATCCTGTAATTCTGGAAACACTGCCACAGTAATTTTACAGGGAATTTCTGGCAACCACAGCTGTCAGTTTTTATAATAAACTTAACAGGATATTTTTTGTGTATAGATCAAACATATATGAAAAACTGTAGTTTTGCAATAACAGTTAGAAAAGGGTGTTGAATTGAATGCATGATAAATAAAATTCTCAATGTGATAATTGCCCCGATAAACTAAACAGTCCGGGCAACACAACAAGTAAAACTGATCTGGATAATAACAATGCTCTCACATCCCTCTGTGCCAATACACTACCCTTATATTTACAAACAAGCAGCTAATTCCTGGAGTTATAGTTGTCCTGATTTGATCATTACAGTCTGCAGAACAAACAGCTTTTAGAAATGTTTGCTTATAGTCATTCAGGCGACAGCGTTTAAATCTCTTAAGAAACACTGCCCCCTAGTGGTAAAAAGAACAGCTACTCGTGAGCAGAGAATGTCAGCAGAGGCTAACTGTCAATAACCATGACTAAACGCATTTTTTCGTACGAGATCGTAAATCTCCGTAGACTAATGTAACACTAATTTTGTTCAGAGATTCATGATTAATACCAAAGTTAGCGGAGCAAGCCCTCCCGCCCATAAACAACACAGACCTCACAGTGTGTGGTCTGGCCCACAGTTATCGCCCCACACAGGCAAAGTTGTGTTTTACGGCGTTGCTTTGACATTTGTGATGGAACTTGATCTGTTTGCAGAAGAGTTTAACTGAAACCATCACTTTTTAATTAAGAGATGTCATCTAATTTGTTGAGCACCAGCAATAAATTTATGTGGGACTGATTGTGTGTGGTAGTGACTTTTTTTTTAATCCTTATCCTTTAAACTGGAAGAATGTGTGACTGATGAATAAGTGATTAACATAGAATACAAATTTATTTATAAAGTTGTTTAAAAAATGGATTCATTTTCATGTTTCAAATTTGTTTCATGCTTTCAAAATGTCCAGTTTGGTTATGCAAATGTTAAGGAGACATTTATTCACATTCTGTCATTTTGCAAACATTATGGGAACCTTTGAATGTTCTCTGAACATTCTGAAACAAGTAGTAATATTAAAAAAAATAAATAAATAAAGTTTTTGAGAAAAGTTCCATGAACCTTTTTGTAACGTTTTGAGAACATTATTAAAGACCAGGATAACTTTAAACAAACATTCTATTAACATTACTGAAAGAACATTTGTTCATAACTTTAAGAATACGTTCTAAAAACATTCCCTGTTAGCTGGGAAGGTGACTATGATCTCTACCACACCTCCTGCAAATGATTTAGCCAAAATGCAGCCCCTACAAAAGCCAAGCCATGCAATCCAGTCACCTAGAGGTGCCAAAAAATGTCAAAAACATACAATACAGAACAGAAGCTTCACACACAAAAGCATTTCCATGGGAGCCAGAGTGAAATTCTCTCACATTTTCAGAAACAGTAGGAGGGAAGGAGAAAATAAATAGGCAAACCAACAAGAACGCAGAAAGAGCAGTATTTAAGAGCCAAAAAATTATGCAAAGAACGATGGAGGTTGATTGGACAGATGGCCATATAAATAAAAGGATGAAAAATACACATTCTGTGTGTGTGTGTGTGTGTGTGTGTGTGTGTGTCTTATGAGAGGAAAGGGATTTGAAGGTAATATACCTAGGCATGTCCGAATCAAGAAACTGTCTGGAAAAACACAAAACAACATTCTGTTAGTGGACTAGAGAAATATCAGAAAAACTTGTGTGGAGGCCCAGCAACTTGTTTCCAATTATTTGACTTGTTGTTTGAATATAATGTGGCTGTCAAGGCCTCTGCACAACTCTCCTGTCACATTTGTGTCCTTGTTCTTTTGCATTGGTGCATAAATCCAGCTCTGATACATGGTTTTATAGGTAGTGTGGACTATCGAGTGAAGACTTGTGGTTAAATTGCAGGAGAGGAGGTCACTGCTGCTTGCAACGGAAGGTTTGAATGACTCTTTTATGGGGTTTTGTTTCAGTGGGGTTCAGGTGGACAAATCTGATAATATATCTATAAGATGTTTGCAAAGTCTGGATGCTGATATATGATGCCCATCTAAGGTAAAGTCCTAGTAATGCATTGCAGATGACAAAATGCTTTGTTTGGCTACTAGCATAACATGAAATGACAGAAACGTGGCCTTTTGTTTACAGTAACTATCATGATGAGAGAATGTTAATGATGGATCTGATTAGTAAAGTGTTAATAAATTAGCTTCTAGTGATTTTAAACCGTAAACATTCTTCTGAAATAAGTCTTCACATGCAGATCAGAACTACGTGATGGTGACTAGCAGAGATGCCAAGAACTCGATCCACTGTGTGGTTCAGTGAGCGGGTAGTTGAGTCTGAGCAATGGCGTGTGGACAGAGCGAATGGAATGAACAGATGAGAATGGACACAAATGCAGACCAGCATCAGATGGGAAGACTTGCACAGCCAGCAAGGAGGTGAACTAGAGAACCATTTCCCTGCCTTTCTGAAAATAGTGAATTAATATGTTCAGATTGTTGGTTCAATAATGTGTGACCTCCTTCATCAAGGATAATAAAACCACATTGTGTCTTACGTGCAGTGGGAGAGGAAATGATTATTATAAGTTTTATAAAACAGAAAAGGAGCAGCTGCATGGATTAGTCTGTCAATCAAGCGATGCTGTTAAAAACATCCTGACCCCCTGTGGTTATGTAATGCTGCAATGTTGCATTAAGATATTTTAAGCATCAAGGCTTATTATATCTGTGTACCATCACTCTCAGAAATAAAGATACCAATGCTTTTCAAAAGGTACACCTTTGTACCTAAAAGGTCCATATTGGTACCTTAAAGGTACATACTGTATTACTACCCTAAAGTGTGCATATTATCTAAAAGGTACAAAAGTGTACCTTTTGAAAAGGTACTGCCCCAGTGACAGATTTTGTACCTTTTTTTCTGAGAGTGCATAAATCAGTGTGAGAATTACATTTTTGTACAATTCTTTGGAAGCAAAATCTGTTGAGATTCGGTTTTTTTTGCACAGAACAAGTTGTTGTTTGTAGCTACGACCATAGCTAGCCAAATGCTAACCATTTAGTTTTCAGTAACCTACAATCTCATTATCAACTTTTTAGATAGAAAATTGATAATCTAAGAAAAAAGTGTAAATCTAAAAAAAAATGAATTACAATAATACTCCACAATGTTTGTTTTGATCAAATAATTCAGCCTTGTTAAGCATAAGAGACATCTTTAAAAAAACATTTAAAAAATCGTATGGAACCTTCTGAATGGTACTTTTGAATGGTAGTGTTGTTTTAAGATCCCCTAACCTCTTGTTTTGACTTTTTGGGGGGTTCTTTTTGGTTCCCTTTTAACTGGAAAATCAGACTCTCCCAAACCCCATGTAATGTGCACCCACTTGTGAATCTTAAAAGCCTCAATATGGCAATACTAGGATGTGCCAGTTGTCAGCCACCACAACCATGCAGCAAGTTATGGTATGTTTGTGCAACGGAACATAAAAGTGTGAATATACTTCTTGTCTTTATCTAAGGCTGGCACTGTGGCTGTGCTGCTTGATTCTGAATCACTCCTTTGAGACAGGCCTTTAAGAGCTTGTTTTGAAGGTTTGGTTCACTGACTCATTGCTATTTGGCAAAAACTCATCGCTTTAAAGTTGTGCAGAGAACTGTTTGTCACAGGCTTGGCTCCAGCTCTCAGATCATGAGCCAAGGCTGAGGAGAGAGTCGTATTAAGTACAGCAATCACTAAAATGGAGACCTGGTTTTAAAAAGAGTGTAGTGGGAAACAGCCAAAGTGAAGTAAATCTGCTACCGAGTGTGGAGAATAAAGGCTTCATGACAGAAGAATAAAACTCCCTTATGGAAGTGTTCTTGAATATAAAATGACAAGCATATTTTTTCAAGATGTCTTGTGTTTAGTGTTAAAGTCACATGAGAATTTGTAAACTGCCAAACTGGTCTTCTGATGTCTTGACATACTTATTAGGGTTGGGAACGTACCTGTCATCTTGTGCGGGTCGGATGTATCCTGCAGACAGTATGTTGAGAGAGAGAATATTGGGGTCGATGATTGTCTCATCTGCTTCAGGAGTGTTCCGGATGCGCCCTGTCAAACACAAAATACGTCCCATTTGTTGAATATCATCCAATTTCGCTCTGGTTTGCGCATGCGCTTTTAATTTTGAGCCCAAACTCACCTACAACCAGCTCTCGCACTTCCTTCCACTCGATATCTCGTCCTGACTCATGTACTATGGTGACTGTGACTCTCCTTTGGATGCCCTGTTATGTAAATGTTGAATTATTTTATGTTATTACGTGATAATTTTGTACTCTAATGTTAAAACAAAAAACAGTATGGGACAAGGGAAAGGGAAAGGGAAATGGATAGAAAAGAGTAGAAAAAAAAGAGTACCTGATGTAACATGAATGTGCCATGGCATGGCATGCCTACACGGTGGTCCACTACGGCTGGGATATAGCTGGAAGGGAGAGATGTGTGTCAAATACTGTACAATAACCAGCACGGTCACAGTTTCCTGAACATAGAAACTGTACACAACATGTACAAGGATTTACAAAACCAATAGATTTAATATTATAATTATTTATTTAATAATATGTATATTTAAAAAAAAATAAACTACTATATGATATTTATTTATTATTAATTAAATAGTATGTAAAATAATTGATCTTTCTTAGATATAACTGTTTTCATATAAGATACCATGTGACAAATTTATTCAATCACCTTTACAAGCCCCAGTAATCGATTTTACACAGTAATCGATTTCGCACTTTATTTTGATAGTCCATTTTAGACATTCTACTAACTACAAGTAACTTTGTAACTACATGTCAACTAATTCTCAACTACATGTCTACTAACTCTCAGAGTAGACTGTTAGGTTAGGTTTAGGGTTAGTAGAATAAGTTGACATATACTTGCAAAGTTTCTTATAGTCAGTATGTTGTATGTTGTGGACCCATCAAAATAAAGTGTTAGCAGATATTAAGCAGACAGTCTACTAATACTTTAATGACTGCTAGTTGACATGTAGTTGCAAAGTTACTTACTGTTAGTAGAATGTCTAAAGTGGACTATTGAAATAATGTGTCACCATTTAAAGTGAAAAGGTCCACAGTAATACAAGACACTTACTCTCCATTGGCCTCTAGCTCACAGATTTCAAAGAAGACCATCAGGTCGTATTTACAGTGGCACGGTCCTGCCGTGGGTCGTGTGAGAGCTGTCAGTTTAGTGGCAGGTACTACGCAGAAAACAGAGAAAGACAGAGCGAGAAAGAGAGTCGAATCAATATTGGGTTCATCATAGACCAAAGGATATAATAATTCAATGGCAGATGAGAGGGATACTAGAGTTCCACAGGAGAGAGGAAGATATGGATCACAGTATAAGAGGAGAAATAGACCATAGTTAGAGAGGAGCAGGAGTGGGAGATCAGGGGTCCGATGTAAAGGCACACTGCTGTTAAGATGAATAAAGTCATGTGAATTACAGTGATCCCTTAACGTCTGCTCATGCCGAGCAGAATTATTAAAGAATAGTTCACCACAAATAAAAAGTTTCTTCGTTGGAACATAAAAAGTGAATTTCTGAGGAATATTCTGGCCACTTTTTTTTTTCCATGTAATGTAAATTAACAAGGACTAGGGCTGTCAAACACCAAAATGACAAAAAAGCACCATAAAGGTAGTACTGTATCATGAAAGTTATTCATATTACTCATGCGCTATATTATAAGTCTTCTGAATTCATATGACAGCTATTTATTGAGTCAGTGAGTTGAAACAGAAAACCAGATTTGTTTGATTTATAAACAAATCTTTCAGATTTTGTCAACTAGACACGAGATATAAAATTAATTGAAAGAAATCAAACTTCTCTACTTCTTTCATGTGCTTGCATGAACACTGCAGATTCAGAAGTTTTTTTTTTTGTGCTTTTTTGGAGTCATCTGACAGTCCCAGTCCACATTAATTTACGATATATGGGGAAAAAAATTATCAAAAGAGTAAATTATGATAGAATATTCGATTGAGGATGAACTATTCCTTTAACTCACACTTAACTAATATACTTATGAATAATAGTTATAAGCCCTTTTTTTCATTTTTGTCTCTTTATATAAGACAAACCAGTGAATATGATCCGTCAAGAGACAAGAAATCTAATAAAAAATAACAGCCAATAACCTATAATGACCCAAAAGGAATAACACAGAGGTTTAGGGACCACTGCATTATCAAGCACAGTTTCAAGTGACAGAACAACCAGTTTTACTCATGCACTGATACATTCTTATTCCAGTACTATTCATCAGTTTATTTCTGGGGAATGATGTCAGAGAAAAAGGCTAGAATTGTCCATCTGCTTGATGAGGTTTGTATGGAGAGGCTGAGGGAGAGAAAAGACAGACACCCACACACAGTATTAACAGGCCGAAACACAGTCCCTGGAACAAAGAGTCCTTCAGTCCGTCAATGCAGAGAGTTTGTGTGACTCCCAGTGAAATGGGGAAAATGAGTGGACACTTTGTCTAAACATCATCTATTTTTCTATTTAAGACATTCCAAGAAAACGTCCAAGTATATTTTGGAATAATTTGCAATTACGGTCAAAACTTTGGAATAATTAAGTTCTTCCAGATTGTCTTTTATACTTACCCAAGGCTGTATTTATTTGATAATACTGTTATAATTTAAGTAACTGTTTTCTATTTTAATATATTTTAAAATGTAATTTATTCTTGGGACGACAAAGCAAAATTTTCAGCAGCCATTACTCCAGTCTTCAGTGTAACGTGATCATTCAGAAATGATTCTTATATGCTGATTTGGTGTTCAAGAAATAATATCTTTTCAATGTTAAAAATAGTTGTGCTGCTTAATATTTTTATGAAAACTGAGATACATTTCCATTCAAAAGTTCTGGGTAAGTATGGAAAGAAGACAAAAAAAAAACATATCAAGAACGCAGTAAATTGATCAAAAGTGACAATAAAGACATTTGTAATATTACTAAAGATGTCTATTTCAAATAAATGCTGTGCTTTTGAACTTTCTATTCATCAAAAAATCATGAAAAAAGTTTCCATACAAATATATAGCAGCACAAACATTTCCCACATGATAATAAGAAACGTTTCTAAATCACCAAATTGTGTTTTATATTATATTATATTATATTATATTATATTATTATGCATTAGACAGACCAGAGGTTCAGTTTCAGGGACATCCTTTGGCCTTAGGCACCCAGAACCATTACAGACCCGGCTTTTGTGCTTTTATTACTGAACAGATAGACAAGGGCGGGGCCGGCAGTCTGGCTTGCTCCTCCCCCTCAAGGAGGTAGGAAACAGCCAAGCCTGCTGCACTGAGGGCGTGGCTTGACAGCGAGTCCACCAGAGCCCCATTGAAGACCTCTGGCAGCAGGTAGCGAATCAGCTCCAGGTTCTTCTCCCGATCAGGAGGGGTGTCATTATCTGCGGCTACACCCACCACCAACAACATAAAGACTGTGACATGGGCACATGGACCCAAAACAGCAACATAAAACAGGCAACACAAAAGACGAAGCCAAGAATATGTGCTAAACAGCTTCAGCCTCAATGTAATTTGGCAGGAGACATTGAAGGGGTTATCAGATGCAAAATTGACTTTTACATGGTGTTTGAACATAAATGTGTGTTGGCTTGGCAGTGTGTGTACACAACCACCATATAGTGATAAGAATGCAGTAGATTTAGTAGATTGTGTTTAACACACACAAGAGTGATGATCAGGTGAACACAAAGTAGTATAGAAATTCTACATTGATTTTTTTTTAAATGCACTGGTATCGGATCGGATCGGAATCGGCTGATACTCAGAATTTTTGGTTTTGGATCGCTTCTGAAAAAAATGGTATCGTTGCATCCCTACTTTTTATGAAGACCCTGAAGAATCATACCAACTTGTGGAAAATGAGCATCTGATGTCCCATTTAAAGAACAAATAGCATTTTTTTAAAAACATGCAATGGCCTATGAAGTGAAAAGGAGGGGCTTCTATGTTAATGGTCATAAAATATATAATTATATGTTAATGGTCATAATGTTAATGGTCATAAAAACATAAATATTCATTGCCCTCACCTGGTTTGGAAAGAGGCATGACTCTTGGGAACTGTCGTCTGCATGGGCGCAGCGGGCTGAAAAAAAGAAAGATCTGGTTGTCATTTCAGTATATTTGATGGATAAATCCAGACATTTGTAGCTTGTATTAATCAGAGTTGGAAATAATAAATATAGCCCGGATCTACCTAATGAGATCTTTGCAGAGCGGAGGGAAAGGCTGCTTCTGGTAATGTCCAAACACTTCAAACACGACTGGCTGAGTCTTTATGTACTCTATAAAAGACTTAGTCACTTCCACAGCAATCTGGAAAGTCAGAGAAACAAGTGTTTTACCCTCAGTCTAATAAAATCAGTGTGACGTGGTACTGTTTGTTTTAGTGTAAAGCTCACATTTTGCACATGATAGAAGCCAAGTGGTGGACCACGTCCAGTGTTCTTCAACGGCTCTGTGGAAAATGCTTCATCGTGCCTGTGAATAAAACTACAAACGAGAAGTTTAATGAAAGTAAATTAGATACAGAACAATGACAAATGTCTGCTAGTGGAAACAGACTTCAGAACAGAACAGAGGCACTTACTTGAACTGGCAGAATATGTCTGCGTATTCTGCGGATATGCTTGATGCCTGCAGCACAGTAACTCTGAATGTAAAGACTTCTCCAATCCTCAAGTGATCCAGAGCGCCGTCCAGTATGCCATCAAGACCAGTTTTGACAGGGCTGTCCAGCTCCTCTGGGTTAGCTATGAAAAACACATGAATGAAAAGACGTCAAGTCAAAGAAATATGAAAACTCCATGGGATAGCCGATATGAGCTGGCATTTAAACGCAGACTTCAGTAACACAAACTCAAAGGTTATGCTTTTTACTTACACAGACTACCATTAATACTTTTATTCAGCAAAAATGTATTAAATTGATCAAAAGAGGCAGTAAAGACAGTTACAAAAGTTTTTTTTTAATAAATGCTGTTCTTTCTATTCATCCTGAAAAAAAAAACATTTATCATGGTTTACAAAAAAATATTAAGCTGTAAAAATGTTTTTAACTTTGATAATAATAAATTATTTTTAATAAGAAGTTAAATTACTGTTTTTACTGTGTTTTTGGTCAAATGATTGTAGCCTTGGTGAGCATAAAAGACATTTAAAAAAAACAATCCCAAACACAGAATGTTCAATGTTCCTTACATGCACAGGTATTATTGTTGACCTCATCTGCTGACAGTCCCATCTCTGCATTTTGGCCCTCACCCTCCACAATTCGCAGCTCTTCCTGAGAGACAGCAGCACATGAAAGACCAGAAGGACAGGACTCTGACTGGAACTGCTCAAAAGGAAAGAGAAACACTTGAAGTAAGAAAGACAAGATCAGCATAGCTGGTCACAAGTGTACGTTGTTATGGTTCTCACACTTTTGACCTATGAATTTACATGCTTTTTCCATGACTTTACTATAATTTAAGAATTTTGAGAAAAAAATTTTTTTTATTGAAAATTCACTAAAAAAAGAACTAGCATAACTAAAAAAGTTCATATTGGCTATACAAATTTCCAAGACTTTTTAATATTTCATTAATTTCAATTACTGGAAATAACACTTTTAAAATCTCTGATGTTTCCAAGTTTTTATAGGACCATAGGAACTGTGTTGTGTTCTGAATGCTGGGTCTCAGCATCTTCAAAATGCTACTTTCATACTGGTCAACCAGCTTGACAAGAAAGACCATTAAAGTCAGTAAAAAGCAGCCTGGACTAGCATTGAAATTTAAGCTGGTCTTTTCAGCTTGGTCTACCCTTTCTGTGAAACTGCTTCATTATAAGTGTTAAAATGTTAATACCTTCTCAAACTGCTGGTCTTCAAAAGAAATCTTGGCAGTGCCTGACTGTCGGACGCCAGAGCCATAGTCTGGTGCCTCTTCATCGGCTGGAGGAAAAACCAGAGCACCTTCACATCACTTCCTCACGAAGTCACACACAGTTTGCCCTTCATACTGTACACACATATCCCTCTAGTCTAAACACATCCTCTAACACCAAATACAATTATGTTCCCTTAAAGGGGTCATATGATGCGATTTCAATTTTTCCTTTCTCTTTGGAGTGTTACAAGCTCTTGGTGCATAAAGAAGATCTGTAAAGTTGCAAAGACTAAAGTCTCAAATCCAAAGAGATATTCTTTATAAAAGTTAAGAGTCAGCCACACCTACCTAAAACGGCTCGTTCTAACACGCACCCACATGTCTACATCACGATGTGGGAAGATTTGCATAACACCGCCCAAATGTTCACGCAAAGAAAGAAGACGTAACTTTTATTCTCGTTCCAGAACAGTTCAACCCAAATATTCAGATGTGTCCAGCGCATTTTATGGAGGACTGTTTTCTGATCCTGGTAGAGTAGACTACAATGCCGGCTGTTCTGACTCTCAGACTGTAAGTACGTTTTTTATATTTAAAGAGTTTTTATATTTTATATTTTTTATATTTAAAGCTAGTTTTTTGGGCAGTGTAGAGTAGGACTTGTTGTTTGTAATTTCTCCGATCACAAATGCTGACATGGTTTTATGTTTACGCGGCGCGATACAACGCAATGCGTAAAAAGACAGTATAAGTCATTATAATCAGTAATTATGTCTCCACTGGATGCAACAAATGCCTCGTTTGTAATGGGTTTTAATGTTTTTGTCTCGTCGCTCCGGCCGGAGCTTCCGTCTCACGCTTGAGGTATCCGGGCCAAACACAACGCACTGGATAGTTGGCCAATCACAGCACACCTCGCTTTTTCAGACCGATGAGCTTTGTAAAAATCGACGCGTTTCAAAAAGGCGGGGCATAGAGGAGAAACAATAATGTACAGTATGTGGAAAATAATGTGTTTTTTTTACTTTAAACCGCATAAACACATTTCATTAAACCAAATACACAAAATAATGTTCTTTTTAGCAACATCATATGACCCCTTTAAACTAAAAATGCATCTACCAATATTAAAGTTTTTTTTATTTATTTATTGAATATTTAATAGTGCATGCTAATTTCCCCTGATTTTACAATTACATTACTACTATCATCAAACTTGAAATTAATCTTTAAAAACACCATTCATTTAAAATGATTCAACATTTTGATACTAGACAATAAAATGATACATTGAAATATGTGTCCCTCTACTCACCAGTAGGTTCTGCAAGACACTTGCAGTCCTAATCTTACCTGATATTGCTTGTACAGCTACTCTGAGGAAACCTTTGACCTCTCCCTTCTCATTAACTATGGCAACCCGATGGACCAAGGGCACAGGATAGAGCAGATTACTCAAATACACAAATGCCCTAAAGGAGAGAGGGAAGAAGAAAATGTGTGTCTAAGGGATCGACTGTACAGCAAACAGGACAAACACAACACTGAGCAACATACAGACACAAGCAGGCACTGCTGTGATTATTCCTCACAGATCAGGGTACATGATATAAAACAGGAAGGTGTGAGTATTTTTAAGATTTTGGGTAAGTTTAAGGAGCATGGGATTGAAGTGAAGATAAACCCTAAAACAATACACAGAAAATAAATCTGAGACCACATTGAAAATTGAGGATTACTTTTCATTTAAAACGACAAAATAAAGAAAGGTTAAGGATTTTGAAAAATGTAATGTACACTACAGCTCTAAAGTTGTTGTTGTTGTTGTTTTTTAAAGAAATTAATATTCGTATTCAGCAAGGATGCATTCAATTAAAGTGACATTTATAACGTTACAAAATATTTCAAATAAACACCAAATCAGCATATTAAAATTATTTCTGAAGGATCACGTGACACTGCAGACTGGAGTAACATCTGTTGAAAATTCAGCTTTGCAATCTCAAGAATAAATTACATTTTAAAATACATTATAGAAATAGAAAACAGTTATTTTAAGTGAAAATATTTTTTAAGCATTTTAGATCAAATAAATGCAGCTTTGGTGAGCACACGTTCTTTCAAAAACAATCAAATATCTTCCCGACCCCAACCTTTGAACAGTAGTGTAAAAAAAATATAGAAATAAAAAAATAAATACTTAAGATTCCATACTATTTCTACTGCAGGTCACTAATAAGCAAATGTGTAACACTGAATAAAAGTACATTTTGTACAAAAGGTCTAGTTTTCTTGCTTCCATACTAGATGTTTTGTAACAAAACTTTCTGAAAATCATGTTAATTGCTCAACTCACCCTTTCACTCAAATTATTGTACTGCTAACATTATTTGCAAATTAAAAATGTACAACATTTTGCCTAGTGGTCTCAAAGGTTAGGACTTCATTATATGTGTCAAATGTACAGACTACATGAAAGAACAGCTTTAGTGAGTCTATATGTTTTTGAGTGAATGATTGGGGTATTTGGATAATCTATACATCCATGATCAGAACCAGAATTAGGACTGTTTATTTAAAACCCAAAGACCCTAACTTTGGTTCTACCATCAAGGACTACATTGCCCATCCTCCACGTGTAGACACTGAATGATACGGTAGTGCTGAACAAAAAAGGGGGTTTGGTGAGGTACAAAAAAAGCATGCTTGTGACAAAAAAGGTGAACGAGCTGACATAAAATGTAACAGTACTGGACACTGTGAGCGTGAACAGACAATACCATTAGCAAATGCCAAAAAATAAAGGTAAATAAGATACTGCAAAAAAGCAGCCATACTGTCACAAATGTGCAGTGCATCGCACAAGCGCAACTTAAAAGAGTGAGCCAATTCATCAAAGGTTTCCATGTAAAATCTCACAAAAAAGGTTGAAATACGGCATATGATCTCACATGCCCAGAAGAGAGACAGCTGTGCTAGAAACCAGCTCTTTCATCTTGAGATATGTGAACTCTCGGCGTAACCAAGCGGCTGAATTACGGGAACCAATTAGTAAGTCATTAGATGAATAGCTATTTTCTCATTCATCAGAAATTCATGCCATGTAACGAAAATCTGGTCTTGTTTGTTTCTGCGGTACACAAAACAAACAGCTAATATGAGTGTTTGGAGATAGCACTTCAAAGCTGACGGACCCCTTTGAAGAAGTGATGCGGTGCATGTAAAGCTGGGACACAGACCTTGGCGTGATGCGAGAGCCATAGCTGCGCTGGGTGGTGCCGCTGACATCCAGTCAATTCTGATTTCAATTATCACAATCATTTGGCCGAAATGGAACCCAGAAGCTCAAGGTGTGTGTCTGCAGCAATCAGATGAAAGTCAAATGTATGATAATGGGAGAAGACATGCTGACTAAAATCCAGGAATTCTTCCCAGAGGAAAGACAAATCACATCTTTTTAATATTGTAGAGGTTTCTCCTACAGCAATGAGATGGAAATCAAGTAGAGACTTTCTACTCAGATGTTTCTTCAGACCAAAGAACCTCAAGAGATCTCAACAACGTCACAAACCGATTTACCACAAGGGTCATTGACAAATAGTAGGTGCCAAGGTAAATAAAAGCCATAAAACCCATGTGCTCTCAATTCTTAGAAATGTATTCATATTGTTTCCACAAGATGACATATGGTGTAACCATTAAATAAAAAGTGTGCACATCTTAATCATTATTGGAAAGTATTTTTGGACAAACATCATGAATTATTGATTCATAAATATCGTTTTTTGTGTGTGTGTGCGTGTGTGTGTGTCGCATTATATAACCTGAACCAACCCATTACAACATAAAATAATGTTACCTTGTCATAAATATGTCAAATCATTTAACATTTTAATAGACTTTTTGACCTTGACACAAAGCCATGAGGGTCTGCAGGGGTCCCCTCTATATCTTATTTCCTGTTTTATGTCGGCATCTTGATCGCACCACATAACATTAATTTGACGAAAAATGTTTTTCAAATATTTGTAATAATTTAACAAAACAGATTCATTGTTTTCAATAAATAATAATATAATATAATAATACATATTAAATATTATGGCAAGCTACCATGGATTTTATTTGATTTAAAAAATGTATATTTAGAATATTATTACATTTTTAGATTTTCTTTTCCGAGTAGGCTACTTCGTACTACGTCATAAACCCAAACACCAAAATCAACAGAGATCTCTATATAATTTCCAATAAATAAATACTGTAAATAAAAAAAATCTCAAATTGACCATTGTCTCTTGTCCTTTTATTTCATAGCTCTACTGTAGGTCAATAACATTTGTATTTACTTTTATACTTCTTTATTTCAAAGAGATGTACAGACTCACAGCAATTTTAAATTTAATTCATTCTAAACTATCAAACTATTTGAATATGTCTAACATATGGCTTTTTCAGTTATGTTTTTGTGTATAAATGTAAGCGTTGTCATTATGCAAGCAAAATGTTTAAGTGTACATATTGTATATACAGTGCATTACAGTGTATACACATTACATTTTGTGTGAGTGCTGTGCACACATTACGTGCGATAGCCAGTTTAAAAAGGAACTGCTGTACAACAACCCAGTCTCAGTGTGAAAGAGCTAGTTTCCTTTCCCAGCATGCTCCTGAAACCTCACCAACCTTCCCACTACACTGAACAATGGTGAGCGATCGTAAAACGGGTCCTCAGCTTTGCCGGAGCTTCTGCAGAGCTCTCCCTCATCATCATCATCATCATCATCATCCTCATCCTCCCCCTCCTCCTCCTCTTCCTCAAAATCCGAGCATGGGTCATCCGATAAGAAATCATCGTCCAAGTCATCCAACTCTGTCCCCACCCTGTTGTCAGGCCACGACTGGACCAGCTCAGTGATTTCAGAGGTTGATGTGGGCTCAGAGGGGGTGGGGGAGGAGTTAGGGTCGCTCGCTTGCTCACTAAGGCATGTGGAGAAAAGGGGGTTTCTGGTGTAGCCAAAGACACGGGAGCCCAGTTAGTATGAGGGGCCATCTCCCCCTCCTCCTCCTCAAGATCCGAGCATGGGTCGTCCGATAAGAAATCATCGTCCAAGTCATCCAACTCTGTCCCCACCCTGTTGTCAGGCCACGACTGGACCAGCTCAGTGAGTTCAGAGGTTGATGTGGGCTCAGAGGGGGTGGGGGAGGAGTTAGGGTCGCTTGCTTGCTCACTAAGGCATGTGGAGAAAAGGGGGTTTCTGGTGTAGCCAAAGACACGGGAGCCCAGTTAGTATGAGGGGCCATCTGTCTTTTTAATTGTTTCTGTTCGCAAGTGGGTAAGTAAACTCTTTCAATAAGCCAATAGCCGAGTCATGGGCATACAACACATAAACAACCCAAAAAACCACTCATCAGTAATGTGAACAGCAGCCTGGAACAGGATTCCATTAAGTTTGTCCAATATTACACTGCCTTTACACTGTTTGGCTTTTTTAAAAGAAATTAATACTTTTTATACAATATAATAAATGATGAAAAGAGACAGTAAAGACATTTATAATATCACAAAATATTTATATTTTCAAATAAATTCTGTTCTTTTGAACTTTGTATTTATCAATCAATCCTAACAAATATGGCATAACTGGTTTTAAAATTGATAATAATTAGAAATGTTTCCTAAGCACCAAATCAGCATATTGATTTCTGAAAGATCCTGTGACATTAAAGACTGGAGTAATGTAAAAATGAAATTAAGAGAATATTTCACAATATTATGGTTTTTAATCCATTTTTGATCAAATAAATTCTGGCTTGGTGAGACTTCTTTCAAAAACATTGCAACAAACGTACCAACCCCAAACTTTTAAATGATAGTGTACATTTTATAGGCATAGTTCAACCAAAATCTAAAAACTGTCATAACTTTCTCAAATAATATCATCATCATGTCGTTCCAAACCTGTTTTCTTTTTGGAACTCAAAAAAAGTAGAATTTTTGGATAATACTTAGAAAATATTAAAAATATATCAGCCAATATGTTCAATATAATGAAAGTGAATAAGAATGGGGACTTTCAAGCTCCACAATAACAAAACAAAAACACCATAAAAGTAAAGGCAGTTCGGTCACGATAAGTCTTCTGACATAATAAAATAGCTTTGTGCGAGGAACAGATCAAAATCTCGACCAAAAAAGTTATTAATTGAAAAGGTTCACACACACCCTAACTCTCCTTGGTGTATTCAAGAGAGAAGAAGTGATGTCTGGTTCGTGATGCATATCTTTTCAATGAATCGGTTGATGTAGTTCACAAAACCAGTCTAAATATTAATGACTCCCCTAAGCTACAGATCCAGTTGTAGCAGTTAACAAAATTATCAGTGAATAACCATTCAAAATCTGTTTGTCACGCAAAGCTATCATACATATTGGAGATATGGTTCCAGTTCGCACTTATTGTAATTGCATGGAAAAGAGCAAAGTATACAAAATGTAAAAAAAAATCTCTCTTTTCGAGTTCCACAGAAGAAAGGAAGTCATTCGGTTTTGGAACAACATAAGGGTGGTTAAATGAGGACAGAATTTCCCATTTTTGTGTGAACTACTCTTTAAAGACATAGTAAAGGCGAGATTAACAGCATGTCATACAGCTCTGAAGTAGACAAGGTAATGGGAAGCGTGTGACCTAATTTGAAAGTGCATGGAAAATCGATTTCATGCTCTTCTGAATAAAGCAGCATCAAAAATCTTGCACTCTTAAAAAGCGTGTGGGCAATAACTCTGGACTTATTCCTCAGAGGAATTCACTAAATTTCATATATCCTGTAGAGATCAGCTTTAACTATAGCTTATTACATTTCCGTTACATGTGTATTACATTACATATTATTGCATTTTCTCGTTCCAGCAGTTTTTCAGGCCTGCAAGATGCTCTACTATTACAATTACACAAACACAATGAGAATTGCTAACTTCGTTCTGCATAACAGAATTGAATTCACTTTCAATGGACCATTCAAATGAAACATAGTTTGAGGAGAAATCTGACAGGAATGTTGTTGATCATGTGGTCTTTATCTGACAGTAGTCAGAGAGTGCAGGGGCGTTCTGTACTAAACACCAGCGAGTCTGTCTAGCTGTGCCCTGATGTAACCTTACAACTTACCTTCCAACCAGACGGAACAAGGGAAAGCGGTCGTAGAACGGATCGCCTCCAGTCAGCACACTGTCACAGTCTTCAAGAGCACTGCCAGGCACCTCAGCAGCACGATCATACATCTCTCGCATCAGATCCAGCCTCTGCCTGCAGGGGGCAGCATTACACATCACTTGTAATGTAAATACTGGCTATACTGTGAAACCCAAGGTGACTCAAAGTGTAGCTGGGTTTTTCTGCAACTACGAGCATTTTGTGTCTCAGAACTCGATTTTTAGTAGAGGTAACAGATGTTATTGTTGTTGTCCTGAAATAACATGGCTTCATTATTTTTTGCTACTTTTCAAACACCTTTTATGTACCTTTTATGGTTTTACTCATATCTTAGACTTTGAATCCTAAAATATGAGATTATATGATTCCAATAATGATTATTATATTTGTAAAACTATCAAAATAAATCAAAACATGAAATACCAACCCGTTTCAGTAATTACTGTGTGAAAATACTTTATAAACATGTATAACAACACAAAATATGACTGTCCCTCAGTTTTTGTGTAATTACCACCACAACAAAGAATACAATTGTAAATGTAGTGGGTACCAAAGAGTCAAAAGTGTCTGTAAAGAGCAAACTGAGATGAAATATGAGACCTATGTGAAGAAAATAAAGAAAAATCAAAATGGGCCAGGATACTTAAAAGGCTAACTATACAATTAGCTTTAGCAAAACAGAGGTGTCTACCATTTTATTCAAAAAATGTTTAAACTGTTTAAAACATCAAATAAACCAGTAATTTTGAAATGTTGTGGAAATATCATTAGTTGGTTCCTGCACACCTGCCCATTGTTGGATACTGACGGTTCACAAATGAAATAATTTAGTGAAATTGTAAATAGCCTAATCTGCTTTACAGAAGTTTATTCTCTAAAAAAAATTACCTGAGCTTCTCCAGGGTCCAATAATGTGTGGCTCCATTTTTCTGATCTTGGACTTCTACAGCCACGATGGTGCGAGGGAATGGGCTTTTCTCACGGTCTTTAGCTGTCTCGGGTGGTAACAGGTCAGGCGGAAGTGGAGAGTAAAGCGTGTCCGTCAATAACACAAACTGGAACTGAACCTGTAAGTGACATTAGGCAAAATCAATAAAGGTGTTGTCATATATTTTATAGGTTTAGCAGAGTGGTGTAGTTCTTTCTGGTCTTTCTCAAGCTTTCACCTTCTTCTTTAGCTCTACGCTAATGGCATTGGCCTCCTTGAGGAAGATGGCATTGCCCCAAAGCAGATCTCTGAGAGATGTGAACTGATAACACCTCCATTTACGGAAAGCCCACAATGCCAGTTCTGTCTCCCTCTCAGTCCATTGCACTATGGGTATAAGAGATTGAAATACAAGAGGCTCAGTTATTTAAACCGAGTCATTGTGATTAGTTCAGGTTTTGCCATTCGCAATCTAGTCACCTTCCTCCTCAGGTTCTTCATGTTCCTCTGCTGCATCAGGGTAATAACAATCTACCTGCTTCTGCAGGGCTTCTAACCTGCTCTCATAGTCCTGTAAAAGACATACAGTATAGTGAAATTTCAACACTAAAAAAGTGTCATATCATGCCTAATTGTAAAGTTATGAGTATAGAGGGACATTTTTTTATTTTAAGCTCTTTACAGTATGTTGTTTACGTCACTTACTAATCTCTGTTGCTCCAGTAGATTGTTGACCTCTTCTCTCTCTTTGCGATACTGATCCTCAAGTTCCTGCAGTCTATACAAACAAAGAGCTGATGACTCTGACAACACAAATGTCACATCTTAAAGGGGTCATATGACGCGTATGACATATGACACATATGACATATATGATGTTTTCCTTTCTCTTTGGAGTGTTACAAGCTGTTCGTGCATATATAAGATCGTAAAGTCGCAAAGATTAAAGTCTCAAACCCAAAGAGATATTCTTTATAAAAGTTAAGACTCGTCCATGCCTTCCTAAAATGCCTCATTCAAACGCCCCCACAAATCTACATCACTGTGTGGGAATATTTGCATAACACCGCCCAAATGTATGCGCAAAGAAAGAAGGCGTAACTTTTATTCTCGCTGTAATATTGTTGCCGCCGCCATGTCGTGGAGACGCTGTGGATTTCCAAATATGGTAAGGGGCGTAACATTTCCGTCACACGCTTGAGGTATTCGGCCAATCAGAACGCACTGGATAGCCAATCAGAGCACACTGCACTTTTCAGAAAAATGAGCTTTGCAAAAATCGATGTGTTTCAGAAAGGTGGGGCAGAGAGGAGCAACAATAATTTATGGTATGTGGAAAATAATGTGTTTTTTTAACCTTAAACCGCATAAACGCATTGCATTACACCAAATACACAAAATATTGTTCTTTTTAGCAACGTCATATGACCCCTTTAAACTTATTCTTGAATTTCCGCCATGTTTCCTTTACCTCTGATCCATTTCCTGTTTCATATCAACAAGTCAATACAAAAAAAAAAAAAAAAGACAAGACTGTTTCATTCTACACAGATATGCATAAAAGCATTTACGCGAAATGGCATACCAATTTAAAAAATAATTGTTTTAAATGTTAGTTTATGAACATGACAAATTTATAAATGAATGAAATAATTAATTAATTAATTAATTAATTAAATCATAAATTAATTAATTTAAAAATGAAATCATAAACAAATTCAATGAAATTAAATAAAATAAAATAAAAAATGTATTAATTAAATAAAAATGAAATCATAAATAAATAAAAATACCTACATAATTGGAACCAACCCATAATGCTTTGAAAAAGTATTGTAGCTGGTGAGGGAAAAGTGTAGGCAGACCTGATCTGAGAACAGTGGGTTCTGTTACTCTCTTTCCATTGACATAAGTTTCTGCTCCTTCACACGGCTCAAGAATGACGGCTGTAAAAACAAGAAGAACAGCCATAAGGACTGTGGGATATATGTGCATGAGTATGTGGGATTGCAAAGTGCATCATTAAAAAACCTTCTCCCATTGGTCCAGTGGTGCTGGTGAAAGTGCAGTGTTCCTCTTTGATGAAATGACCACTCAAAACAATGTCCTGTCTTCTGCTGGCATCTTCTCTCCCCACCCTGAGCACAGCAACATATCAGACGCCTTAGTACTAAATCTACTGAACAGAAGAATGTGTGAAATAAGAAGCTTGGATTGGCACTAACCTGGTAATTCCATCTTTGATGTAATACAGGAGACATTCAGACATCAAAGGATCTTCATTTAGATTCACCAGGTGGGGTGTCTATAATCAGGGCCCAAATTAATTCAAAATCAACATTATAGGTTTTGTATTTACTGAATGAAATACCAATGCTTGCAAGGCAGCAACTGAATAGTCTTAAAGTTTCAGGTAAGTTTAGGTTTTAGGCTTTGGTTTTGTGTTTAAAGCTAAATGGCACAGTAATGATGGACTGCTGTTGTCATTACAATGAGAAGGCATCTTGTTTTCTGTCCGTTTTGTACTAGAATCAATACCTTCATTGCACAGATCTGTCCAAGTCTGACTATAAATGGATATAGTCGGCATAAAATGGTAACTCCATTCTTCTTTTCTCCCTAATGTGATGTATATCTGTGTAAATGGCTTCTTGAACGAGAAATAATGTATGGCAAGAATTTTTGCTTTTGTCCATTGGGAATTGATTGGATCTTTGGATTATATGTTAATTGCTGAGACAATCTTTATGCAAACAGATGTAAGAAAGAAGACCAATCGCTATAATATATATACATACAGTATATTGTATATGCTGAAGTAAGTGGGAGTTTTTAAAACTTTTTTTTAACTTCCTAAAGTATGAATCACAGGGGTAGAAAAGAGGCTGAAATTGTCTAAAAATAAAAAAGTCTGAATGATGTCTATGATTAAATAGTTAATCATACTTGAAATCAATGGTTTAAAACAAACTCTAGACAAAATGTTTGCAAAACATCAGAGTAGCGCTGCCTTGTGAGCACTTTCAAAATGTGTGTAGACAACCTTTTAAAAGAGGAAAAGAAAAGAAAAGTAAAACAATTATACTAAGACAGCTGTCTTTACATCAAGTTTCAGTATCAAAATCCATGAAAATGCATGCAATTCACCAAATTGCGTAAGATTCCAGACAGGAAAGCCTTTAAAAGCATCATGTGGCCATGATGCTTGAGATCTGAAGTCTTCAAAGTGCTTTAAAGTTTACTATAAAGACTAGAAGGAACTGCAGCACATCAACATTCATATTAGAGAGTAATGAGCAACAGATCCCTAAATAAAGAAATAAAGATCACAGACGCATTTAAAAGAGCTCTGATGGGGAAAACACACAGAGGTATGTTAGAAGAGTCTGAGAGGAGCGATCAGGATGTAACCACACAGTATCCATGGCAACCAACCTCATTGGGAGAGAACAGCCCAACAGTGTCTATAAAAACGGGCTGAGGTTTTCTCTGCGAGGGCTTCCAGAAGAAGAACGTAAAGACATTTACAGGTTTATTTGGTTATTTGAGCAAACATATTAACCTTAATTTGTGGTCCACCTGCACACGGTTTCTCCCTACAGCCTTTACAACATCTTTACCTTCTTTGGTGAAAAGACTCCAACAGTTCCTCCATCCTCACGCATGGCCACGCCCATCTCGGCCAGCAGTGCTTCTCTGTGAAAACCAATTTATAGATGCTTTTAATACGTTAACTTATACATAACATAAAAACTGCTTAAAAATCACATAAGAATTCATACAACACACCTGTCCATTCTGATGGCCTCTGTACGGCGAAGCTTCTCTTCCCAGGTTTCATTGAGCTCGGCAATAATTTTCTCTGTTTCCTAAATTGGCATTTCAAACAATATCAAGTTCAAATATGCCATCAAATCTATGGTAGTTTTTGTGAGACTTATATCTTTAGACAGCAAAAGTCAATTTAGTTTTTGGGGTAAGGTAACATGGTTAAATATTTTGAATTAAAGAGTTAATACACTGTAACTTTCAGACCTTGAAACTCTCTGCCGCAAAAAAACACTTTCTCAGTTTTATTTATTGAAACAAAAACCTCATGAATGCCTCATTCTGGAATCAACTTTGTAATATCATAGGAATGAAAACATGAACACATGACCGCATTCTCATTCATTTCAATGGTAGGTGTTTGGTTGGTTCATGGTTAAAATCCGCCATCTTTACTAACAGATGCTCATTTCTGCAACCAGCCTCTTTTGAACCAATCACCATAAATGGCATGTGATCAACAGATTCCATTTACATAAAAGTTTTAAGGCTGATTCTCACTGCACCATCAGAGTCTGACCAACAGCAACAGATATGTTTGTCGGATTTTGTAAAATCCACTGTTGCTGTGTATTACCACTATCGGCATCTGTTGCTGTTGGTCGGCGCTTGTTTTCGCCAACTGAACATGTTCATTCGAGGTTTGTTGGGTCATGGAATGTCTGAGAAGTGACTGTATTCTGGTGGTATTATTAGGTGTTGGTCTGCATCTGTTGGTGCACACTGGTAAATTGTTACAGTTATGTAGGCAATGTTATTTTAGTATTATTTACAGTACAGTATACAATGGTGGCCAAAATTATTAGAAAACCTGACAGATCGGAAAATAAATGTTTTTTTGCCTCCAAAACATGATTTCATTTCATAATGTTAATGAAACATGCAGGTGGTTGCTCTGAGCACAACAAATATCAGATTTATCCACTTTTAACTTTAATAGTTGGTATGTCCACCTTTTGCAGCAACTACAGCAGCACATCTCTCTGGCATAGTGTCAATATATTTCCTGAGGACTTCAACACTAACGTTATCTTCCTGCCTTCTGCAACTCAAGGCAAAGGATTTCCATTGAACGTACAATAGATCTGTCCAGTTTATTTTCTAACTCGCCCCAAATATGCTCAAAGGGGTTGAGGTCCGGACTTTGAGGGGGCCGGTCAATAATTTTCAATGTTCCAGCACATTCCTTACGTCACAGGTAGTTCCGGCAATAGTTTGTTTTATGGGTACTGTAATGGCCAATTCAACAAAAACAACTGAAACCTCTTAAATATGACAAATGTTCTAATAATTTTGGCCACCACTGTATATGATTGTAGCATTTATTAATATTTTAAATTAGCTTTTATTTTAATATTTTCATTTTAATTGTAGTTTTTGTAATGGTGTTATGTCATTTTGTCATTTTTATCAGCTTTTTATATTTCAATTTAGATTTAATTTATTTCATTTTTAGTATTAGTCATTAGTACTTCAACTTAAAGGGTTACTCCACCCCAAAATGAAAATTTTGTCATTAATCACTTACCCCCATGTCGTTCAAAACCCGTAAAAGCTTCGTTCGTCTTCTGAACACAATTTAAGATATTTTGGATGAAAACCGGGAGGCTTGTAGTAAATTACACTGTCAAGGTCCAGAAAAGTATGAAAGACATCGTCAGAATAGTCCATCTGCCATCAGTGGTTCAACCGTAACGTTATGAAGCGACTAGAATACTTTTTCTTACGCGAAGAAAACAAAAATAACGACTTTATTCAACAATTCGTCTCCTCTGTGTCTCTCCACATCACCATAGCGCCATTTTGGAGAATAACCACTGAACGCAAACTGCGTACGCTATTCTGTGTCAACCGCGACACAAGGATACGTTTTCTACGTTGACAGTGTAATTTACTTGGCAGTCAATCGGACAGTCACAAGCCTCCCGGTTTTCATCCAAAATATCTTAAATTGTGTTCCGAAGACGAACGAAGCTTTTAGGGGTTTGTAACGACATGGGGTTAAGTGATTAATGACAAAATTTTCATTTTGGGGTGGAGTAACCCTTTAAACTTTTTTTGTTTCAGTTAGCTGCTAAACCAACATTTCTCACTTTTTCTATTTCTATTCTATTTTATTCCAGCTTTATTTCAATTGGTGGAAACCATTTTAATAGATTTAGTTAATAACAACAATATTGCATGTAAGTACAGTAAAACTAAGGGGGGAAATTATTTTTTAAAAATGTTGAAAAATATGATATGAGCCCTTTAATCTGAAGTTGTTAGGCAAATGTTTGTCAGATTTATATTTGAAGGATTTCAGTCAGTGTTATCAGGGTTTCGTGCTTTATGCCAGTCACCTTGAGTCTCTCAATGGCTTCCTCGCTCCCTGGGCTGAACATGATGCGATCATGGAGGCTGCTGATGGAACCAGCTCGGCTGGACAGGGCGGAGAGAGATGGGGAGGGGCTCATCCCCGTCATAGCATTGGTCACTGTGGAGAGATCACCTCTTTGATTGACAGCTTGGCCACTATTGTTATTGTTCTTGTAATCGGATATGTCTGTCGGGGAAGGGGGAGAGAGGTGCGGGGTGGGGAGAGGGGCAGGAGGTGACAGACACAGAGTTCAGAGAGAAGCAGACAGAAAAGGATGAGCAGAAGAAAGGAAAGACAGAGAAAGACATGTAGCTTGAAATGAATTTGAATTCAGAGACCCAGAAATTTCACATGTGAGGAGAAACGCCCAAGATACAAAGAAAGAACAGACAGTCACAGCCCAGTAAAGGGGACAAGCAGAAATAAAATAAAAGCTCTAGAGCAGGCACCCGGCAGCACAGAGACACGCCAGCCATCAGCTAGCCTACAGCGTTACACACCGGCCATCCAATGACAGCAACCTGAGAGCCACGTCTGAAAAATTTAACAGGCATGCATGCATTGATCTGGGCTGTTATTTGACACTAGTGTCTTATATTTGTTAGTGTACATTGAGCAAAATGCTGTTAGTCCATTCAAGCAACTAAATGGCAATCCTTTCTTGGTCTTAAAGGAATAGTTGAGCCAAAATTGAACATTTTGTCATAATTTGCTCTCACTCATTAAAGGGGTCATGACATGAGAAATCAAATTTGCCTTGATTTTTTGGAATATAAGAGGTCTTTGTACCATTAAAACATCCTGCAAGTTTCATAGCTTATAGATCTGAGGTGCAAGGGTCACCCGGGAACAAACATTTGCATAAACACTGCCTCCAGAGCAAGGCATCGATGAACAGTCATCTTCTCACCATAGGCCCCGCCCACTGGCGTTTAGTTGCTTAACGGCTGACAATTGATTACGCTGAATGCGAGTGTCGCGTCAAAAGCAAATAGAAATTACAATCACTGCCGCTATCTTGTCTACAGTAGATACAGTATAGAGATGCGCATTTGTTTTTTGACACAGTCCACGCGCTTGAGTCTGTCAATAGGACAAATGAAGTGAAAGAACGTTCGTTTTGACGCGTTTGGTTTAAACAGCTCGTTCACATCTTTGTACAGATATCAGAAGGATCCCAGCGTAAGGAACAAGTAGATAGTTTATTTTTAATGGCATCCCGGATGGTGTCTGAGGATTGATCGGAGCATTTTGCTTTGTAAACGAGGCTTAGTTTCATGGAGAGTTCACAAAGAAACATTTGTTGAAAGATGAAGCGGTACTAGATCTGACTGCAGCTGCATCACAAACCGTAAGTAAATAATTTCATAATGCTTTGTCTGTAAATGACCGTTTTTTTTTTTTTTATTATGTTGTCAAAACACTCACATGCAATAGAGAGGGGGTGTTGATACTGTTTCCTATGCAGTGACGTTAGCCAATCATAACAGTGGGCAATTACTGAAAAGCCTTAAAGGACACGCCCCTTAAAACAGGTCGTTTTAGACAGAGGGCCAGAATAATAAAAAATAATCATTTTTCTACATATTTATTTGTTTTTAAACTTTATTACCGTTATAAGTAACCCTCAAGGAACATGTTAAAATAATAAAAAAAAATCCATGTCATGACCCCTTTAAACTATTTTCTTTCTTCTCTGCAATACAATAGACTTTAGTCAGCGTCTTATTTCATTTTTGTCAGGAATGAAAACGAGGCTGTGAGGGACAGAAGTACATTGTGTTTACTGTATGGATTACACTGTTTTTTAAAAACAGTTACAACAGGTTGAAAAAAAAACTTCCAGTTGATAATGCATGACGTTGCATGACACAGGAGCGTGTCATTGTAAAAACTGTAAGTCAATCCCTCACAGCCTCATTTTCAACTGTGTTAAATTCAGTATGGCATCTAATCTGACTAAGATGTATACAAGATATTTAGACAATGTTTTAGCTGTTCATATTATGATGTCCAAATTGTTCATGAGCCAAAAATGACATACATAGAAATGAATCCAGTATATGAGTCAACTGGTATATTATAAGCCTAGTGAAGTGACACAATCGCTTTAAATGATAACCAGATCAAAATTAAGTCTTAATTTACTCTCAAATCAAATTAGAACACTGATAAACGTTCACATACAAAGGCTACATCAAATATGACGACATGAACTTTAAACGTCAAAAAACGTCACACCTTGTTGGTTCTCACATGCCATGAGATCATTTGAGGTTTGTGTTGCCTCTGTCAAGTTTGTTATGACTGGTGTATCATACAAGTGATCATGTTGATTTAGAAAACTTTGTATTAAAAAATGACTCTAGTAAAAAAATATTATATTTAAAATACATTTATTTCATACTATGTATAGTTCAAATCTATTAACATATTTACTGACATATCGCTCAAGACTTAACGATATCAATTATAATTAAATCTTATTAACTACTTGTGCACAATGCATATTTCTTAATATTAAGCCTAAAATGTGTTTTAATGTCACTACTGATGAGGATTGTCTTTAAATGCAAGATATTTAAAGTGTACCTAAAGTATACATGCAATAGTATATCTTTAGTTGGACTTCAGCACAACTACTGCTCAATTTAAAGTGCATTAAGTACAAAATAAGTTGCAGGGTATTTTTATCAAGTACATAAATATGTAAATGTATTTGTAGCATACTTAGCATTAAATAAATGTATTTCAAATACATTTTATTATATTTATCTTTCACTAGGGGAAGCTAACTTTATGCCCATTTGGGACCGCAAAACCCAAATGACTTTCATTATTTGGTCAAAAAAAGCTAAAACATTCATCAAAATATCTTCTTTTGTGTTGCGCATAAGAAAGCAAGCCAAATGAGTCTGAATGACATGAAGGTGACTAAATGATGAATATTGTTAGGCTAAACTATCCCTTTAAATATGCATGATATCACCAATGGAGCTTTGGGGTTTGAGGTTATACTAAAATGATATCTAAAATACATCTACAATATTGGCAAAATATACCTAAGAAAATGTCGGTAACACTTTATTTTAAGGTGTCCTTGTTACATGTTACATGTACTTACTATTATAATAACAATAAATTATGCATAATTACATGCAAGTAACCCTAAACCAAACCCTAATCCTAACCCTAACCATATAGTAAGTACATAAAGTTCATATATATTACTCAGTACTTAAATGTATACTTACACTGTAACAAGAACGCCTTAAAATAAAGTGTAACCAAAATGTCTTAATGAAAATATGCACTACACAGACTTTTGTCTAAATAAATGCTGTCTAAAGAGAATGCTATTGCCATGCTATTTTAGCCTATAGGCCTTTTTTATATCCTTAACGCTATCTAGCATTGGCCCATCTCTCATACTAATTAACATACACTTTTTATAAGCAAATGTTGACTGTAGTACATTAGCAATGAGCTCATATTTCTGCTAAAAGCCAGTGACTCTCATTCCCATCATCTCTAACCAGAGTGATCGTCATCGCTGACCACAGTAAAACCTCCATTACCAGCTCCATTATGCTCTCGTGAAATCCATTTACAATGAAACAACTTGCAGCCTACATCTGAGTTACAAAACAACATTCACGACTCTCACAAAAGAAAGATCCTCCCACGTTTCTCACTGCCAGCATTTCATATAAAATCCACCTATCCAACCACTAAATATCACATATCCCTATAGCTGAACAGTTATGCTAATACCATACGAAATGTAACACGGGATATAATAGCTAAATAAACGTATATTCTACATATAGCCAGTTTGGCTTTGTAATTTCTCTATAACCTTCGCACAATAACATCTCTCAGCTCTGACAGTGCTGCTATGGCAACAGAGCACTTACTCGGTGCTACTACACTCCTAAGAGAGCTACATGGCAAGTATCTTGGGTAAACCGTGAGAAGACGTGGCCCCTGGTGATGGATGACTAAACACAAAAGATGGAGACTGAGGATTCTATGCATATAGCAGCTGATATGAGAGGATTACATAATGTGCATTAAAGAAAGGCACTTCTGCTTATATTTTCTGCTTAGGGCAAAGCTCTGTGCCAATGCATGCAAGGCTTAAGATTAACTAAGCTTTTTTCGCCTCTCTGCATCATCAATCTGTGTTTGAATAATGGCTGCATCACGCAAACAGCAAATGTGATCAAAGATGTTTTTCACCACTGGCCAGTCACATATCTTACAGTGCCAATAACCAATCTTGTTTTAGCAAAGGCTATTTAACTTCACACAATATTACATAGACAATTTATCCATAGTACAAACAGAATATCATTTCTGTTCATTCTTTGTCTGAATAGAATCTATATCACTATTTGTACTCAAATGTTGTCATTGTTAACTAAGACTAAAAATAAATAACTAAATATTAAAAATATTAAAATAACTAACGAAATAAACTAACGAGAATATTAAAAATCATTTTCGTTAATAACTGTAAAATACAGCTGAAGTAAAATAAAATGTTTGATGCAAAACTTAAATTTAAATGAAAATTAGAAATGTTGTTTAAGTATTAAGTACTAGAGTACTAAGTACTAGAATCACTAAGACTGAATAACTGGTTGAAAAAAACTAAAAAATAAAAGAAAAATGTGAAAATCACATAACAAAAATCACTGAAACTTCACCTAAAAATTTAATTGACAATATAACAATAACTAATATAATAGTATTTAAATAACACTAAAATAACATTGGTGCAAACAAGATTGTATTTTTTCTTTATTTTATTAGATTTATTTTATTTGCTGTAAATAGCATCTACCTTCTCTTACACATGTAAATAGTTGCTGCCAATCTGAAAATAATTATCTTGGTTTGGAAAAACTGGGCATTGATTGTATTCCATCATCACCTACAAAACCCTGAGGAAAGAAATGTTATATCAAGTCCATTTCACAAAGTTTTATTTTTATCAAGTAACCGAAAAAAGCACTTAATGTGGTAACATCTAAATTAACTGTAAATTGAAATTATTTAACCAGACTAAATCAAGTTATGACAAATTACGTACTCCAACAGAAGTCATTTTTATGGATTAGATTAGGCAGAAATGGTTCCTTGATGTAACAATTGCAGGTTTTTCAATGACATGTTTAGTGGAATTGAAGCTTTAAACGTGAGTTGTGTCACATAGGATATTAAGAAGCATTAGTTTGGATGTTTAGCTGTTAATAAAGCTGCAGCTAGCAACAGGCAGCCACTGCATAAGAGCTTCAGAGAACACAAGCTGTCACTCAAACACACATCTGCTATAAGCCCCTCCCACTGCGAAACACAAGCAGATAGAAGTCTTTCTCCCATGTCTTCAACAACCGTAGTGCATATAAACTGAAGTGTGATTTTTACATACGGTGTCCCAGAAGTATTCAGACACAATTCATACTTAAAAAAGAATGAATTTTCTTGCAATAGATTACAAAATGTAGCACTATGTATTGTAAAGAAAAGTAGCACATTGCACATGCAGATGCCACTTTGTTTGATACTTAGTTATCTAACTAATTAACTAATATGACAGATAAGTGGATGAGTGAGATCAATTAGTTCATAAGTGTGACATAACATTTATCCTGCTCTGCATTGCAAGCCAAAAGAGAAACATAACAAAAAGAGAGGGTGTCAAGAGAGAGGAAACAAACAGCCCTGCAGCACCAGACTAGATAAAGCAGCTTTCAGCTCAGAAACCACACTAGCAACAAGGGTTAGAAAAAAGCAACAACCAAATAATCACAATATATCACCAAAATACCAACTCCAAAAATGGCATTTTGGTAATAATCATTTAGATTATTAGAAGACTGTATTATGTTTGTCCATTACTACATTATAATGTCCACAACTACATTATTTATAATAATCCAAATATTAGATACTAAATAAATACCAAATACAGAAATGTTGTTGTATAATTTAGTATATTATTTATATAATGTTGAATGTATAATGGTATAATTATTACTGGCAATTATAAAAGCTGGTTAATATATTTACAACTACACAGAGAAATTACAACAAAATAGTTTGATAGCCTTAACAGACAAACATTTATGGCTTTCATGGGATATGACATGAACATGTCTCTGATATGATTTTTGTATGATTGAGAGAGTATGAATTTTCTCTCAAACCCTTGAATGGACCCTGAGGCTGCAGCGATCTGCTTTATCCATAAAAACTGCAAAAGCATAGAAGAGAGAGTGAGATATAGCCCAAGAAACACACATTTCAAACCAGCAAAATCTTCAACTGGCCCCCGAAACGCTGAGAGAGAGTGACAAAGAAGGAACAAGAGTAAGAGGAATAAAAAAAGCTATAAAATTGAATAGAAAACAAGAGGAAAGTGAGACGAACTGTTTGACACAAAAATACTAAGAGCTAAGAGGAAATTCTGAGTCTAATTTAGACTTTTGAAAGTCACTTGACACTGAATTGTACCAAACCCAGAGGGCTAGACTCCAGATCGTCTGTTCTAAGGAATTTCCCCGCTGGGATCACCATCGAGAGACGATAGGATGAGAAAAGAAACGAGTGATTAGAAGAAATAGAGAAATAGAGTTAGGAGTTCACAGGGAAGAGTTGAGGACCCAGTGAATCAATGTGAGTTGTTTAAAGAGCGTACATTTTAATTTGCGTGTGTGTGGTAATTAACAATTTATACTTAATTTTAACCATCCATGATTATATATGCAACTCTCTTCCATCTCTAATAGAGACATAAGAGCTCTGTTCCAAAACCTTGCAAGCTGCTTGCTGCCAACTACCTACTGTACATAGGCAGCTGCCTAATAAGACAGCCAGCATTGACTGTAATGGAATATCAAAAGTGACCAATTTTGAAAACTTTATGTTGACAGCAAGTTCACGTGGTGCACAAGTAGTGCTCAACGCTGAGACTCAAACTGACGTTAAAGTTTGTTGTTAGCATGTTGCTAAGCTAACAGTTTGATACTCTAACAAACATAACAATACACAACATTCACAAAATATTAGGTAAAATAAACAATTGTAACACTGAATTCCTTCCATTGATACTTTTAGTACTGAATGAAATATAACTAACATATATTTAATCAACATTTATATTTTTCGTCCACCATTTTGGGCTAATTTTTTCACAGTGTTTCACCTCTAAAGGCATACCTACATGTTTCCTTAAAATATGGCCAAAAAAGAGCTTAGAAGGCAGCCTAGTTTAGTTGCCTACTTCTCTCTAGGCAGCTTACTAGGATTTGGAACAGAACAATAAAACATTATGCACTAATGCATGTCTCAGTACCATAAAAACAAAAGTGGTCACACACTGTCTGATGAAATACTTATGATGAAATAAAGGCAGAGCAGATAAAAAGCAAACACTCTTACTCTCGATGATGTCACCCAGGCCCTGGGCATAGAGGAGGTCCTTCAGACGGGACACCTCATCTTTCAGCTCACGCACCAGACGGTTATTAGGATCTTCATTGATCACAGCATTACAACGGATCTGCTTAGCCCTGTCTGCATACCTGAATCACACACAAAGTGGACTTAAGATGGTAAAGAAAAAATAAATGGTAATATATGTAAAAAAAAAAATGCTTTAATAATGCTGCTTTCTTATGGCTGTTGCAGTAGATATATACACATAGTATAATGAAAAAAGATTTTAGACAGACACACATACACACACTGATAGGTGCCCAATTACTCTGCTCAGCAATATTACTGCACACCAGTATCTTTGAAGGGCATTTCAAGTGGGAGGCAGGTGTGTGGAGAGAGAACAGGAACATTCTCATTATGTAACATACCGCAGTACCCGTCAGCTCATTAACTAGCTCATTACCAACCTCAGACAGAGAGAAAACAATGATAGAACTGGTGTTTTACTGAGTAAGAATACCTGAGAGTGCTGAGGGTTTCATCATAGTTGATGTCAGCAGGACTCTGGGCATAGAGGAGGTCCTTCAGACGGGACACCTCATCTTTCAGCTCACGCACCAGACGGTTATTAGGATCTTCATTGATCACAGCATTACAACGGATCTGCTTAGCCCTGTCTGCATACCTGAATCACACACAAAGTGGACTTAAGATGGTAAAGAAAAAATAAATGGTAATATATGTAAAAAAAAAAATGCTTTAATAATGCTGCTTTCTTATGGCTGTTGCAGTAGATATATACACATAGTATAATGAAAAAAGATTTTAGACAGACACACATACACACACTGATAGGTGCCCAATTACTCTGCTCAGCAATATTACTGCACACCAGTATCTTTGAAGGGCATTTCAAGTGGGAGGCAGGTGTGTGGAGAGAGAACAGGAACATTCTCATTATGTAACATACCGCAGTACCCGTCAGCTCATTAACTAGCTCATTACCAACCTCAGACAGAGAGAAAACAATGATAGAACTGGTGTTTTACTGAGTAAGAATACCTGAGAGTGCTGAGGGTTTCATCATAGTTGATGTCAGCAGGACTGAGAGCCGCCACCATTGCGGTGCGAGAGTTGCCACCTGCAAAGGTCAAAGGTCAAGTGCTTCAAGAGTGAGAATACATTAAAATCCTGTTTCATGTGACAGAACACCCTTATACATACCAAGGTTCTTATATTATTGTTCAAACATTTGGGGTCAGTAAGCTTTTTTTTTTAAATAACTCGCTTATGCTCAACAAGGCAACATTTATTTGATCTAAAATACAGTAAAAACAGTAAAATATTATTATTACAATTGTAAATACAAGAATTTTGTATTTAGTTATTTTTGTGAAAAATGTGATACATTTTTTTTTCTTGGATTCTTTGATACATAGAGATTAATGTCAAAATTAATAATCAAAATTAATCAATTAAAAATTAAATAAGTTCAAAACAAAGAATAGATAGATAGATAGATAGATAGATAGATAGATAGATAGATAGATAGACATGTTGTTTCATGTTGTTATACCTTGTTTGAGCCAGAATCCTGCAAAAATAAGTGATTGCAGATCATTAAACTGACATACATTAAACTTTTTATGCAAAAAATAATAAATCATCAAACATCCTCAAGGCTCAGAGTAAAACAAAACACTTACCACCTCAGCCAGAGCTGAAATGACTTTTCCCAGGGTAGTAAGTGATTTATTGATGTTTGCCCCTTCCTGAGATAGAAAGAGTAAGTAGAAAATTGAATTACAATTCCAAACTCAAAAAATTACTGATGATAGAATGAAGTGGGGTACTGTCAAAATGCCAGTATGCGCTCTGTGCACTAATAGCAGGAAGTACAGGAAGTATGTAGAGAGAATTAGAGGACAAAGGGAGAAAGAGAAAGAGACATTTGTAGATGTTAGAAAAGACAAGAAACAGAGGGGATACAATGATGTGGAAGACCACAGAGATACTAAAGGAGTTAAATAGAGGGCATGAAAGGACAACAGACAATTGGGGATAGGAAGTGAATATATACAGTATATATATATATTAGTCACCTTGAGCCGTGTGCCTTTGGCTCCAGTGGAATCTGCTCTCTCACTGCCGGCTAAATCCACCAGACTGATTTTGCTGACCTGCCAGAGAAGTTCAGAATAGGTCAATAATGAACATGCTGAGAAATGGACAGGCCCATATCACCTTTCACATTACCCATACAGAAAAAAAAACTCTCAATGTCAAAAGTCATCCAACACAGCCCTGTGTAAGGGTGAGAGACAAGTGGCCTAACCTTTCGATCTAAACGGAGCTGTTTATTGTGACTGACAGGGTCTGTAATATGCAACAGCAGCACAAACCTTTTCTGAAGTGTTATCTGTTTCGGAGTCATGGCGCTTCTGGGTGAAGATGATGTTGAAGACAGCGTGTGAACGGCTGCTGGTCTCATTCATGTTAGTGGCAGCTACTGTCCTGGATAACAGAATTTCACCATTCAGAAACTTCATTAATATTGACTGCTCAGACTCTATACCTTGTGAGGAAGTGCTGTGTTTTAAAGTTAGTGCTGTATCATTGCATTTGCACTAACTTCTGCCTCTGTGATTCATCTGATGACCAACAAAATGTTTCCCTGATGTATTTAGATCCAATCCTTAATGTACAGTACTGTCCAAAGGTTTGAAGGCAGTATGTTTTTTTCCTTAGGAAATTAATACTTTCATTCATTAAAAATGTATTAATTTTTCAAAAGTGACAGTAAAGACGTTTACATTGTTACAAAAACTTTATTTTAAATAAATTTAATAAATTCTATATTATTCAAATAATCCTGAAAAAAACCACAACTCCACAAAAATATTAAGTAGAAACGATTGATAATAAGAAATGTTACTTTGTTACTTGATGTTCAGAAATGTGCAGCAAATCAGCATATTAGAATGATTTCTGAAGAATCGTGTGACACTGGCAGCTATTGAAAATTCAGTTTTGTCATTACAGGAATAAATTACTTTTTAAAATATTTTACAATAGAAAAGATATATTTTAAATGCAATAATATTTGTATTTTATTTTTGATCTTGGTGTCTTCATATTCATCAAATGCAGCTAAAATAAAAAATAAAAAACTCCTAATTATTCATTCCATTAATGAGCTCCTGTCTGTTTTGCCAAACATTAACTTACATAACAGACTAAATAAGTATAGTGCATTGGCAGTGGTGCATCTCAACACCTTGAGATTAGAGAACTGTTGACTGACGCTAAGCTGAGGAAACAGGAATGCACTAACATAATGCCTCCTGGAATTAAATGGTCCATTTGTTTCCATGATGATAAGCATATATTGATAAGTGATGATATATGATGATAAGTAAATATTTGTTTTCCTCTCAATGTGGCCATGAAGACCTTGAAAAAACACATGTGACCAGGACCACTGGTCTGTGCAGCAAAAGGCTATCATTGTTTATTTCTAGAAGCCAGAATAGAATAGAATAGAACAGAACAGGATATGATATGATATGATATGATATGATATGATATGATATGATATGATATGATATGATATGATATGATATGATATGATATGATATGATATGATATGATATGATATGATATGATATGATATGATATGATATGATATGATATGATATGATATGATATGATATGATATGATATGATATGATATGATATGATATGATATGATATGATATGATATGATATGATATGATATGATATGATATGATATGATATGATATGATATGATATGATATGATATGATA